TGCTTTTTAACCTAGGCCCATCACATCACGTCAGCACCATGATAGGCCCCGGGGTAGCAGAAGAGTTTGAACTTACTTCCAGATGTTGGCTACGGTCCTTCTTGGCCATTTCTATGCCATCAGAGAGCAGTTTCTCAAAGAGAGGATAAACAACAAGCTCTTCTCCAATGGAGTGTCGAGCTAGTTCCCAGGTAAACAGGTTCTGGAAGCGGGTCTGTTCATCCTCGTCCTTGGAGGTAATTATCTTGCCATAATATGATTCAATCTCCCGGTGATCTTTTTTGATGGTGTCAATGATTCGGGGTGTCATGGCGATAGGTGAAGTCGCAATTCCACGTCTCTGAGCAACGCGTGACACGAGTTGACTGAAGGGAAGGGTTCTAGAAGAACGAAGAGCGAAAGTCATTATGGCCTTCGAAGGGGAGATTCAGGACAGCAACATCAGCAGGCTGGAACCTGGCCTCCTTATACCATACGTGATTGTAATAATAGGTAATGCAGCAAGTCCTCATTTGTCTATCTGCGCGCTAGATCATACTGACGTGAAGTAAATGCATGTAGTATAGTAATGGAAGATATGATGTTAGCTGGCATCGTGCTAGCAGGCTATTCCCGAAAGTGATAGATAGATCTTACGTCTAATGGGTGTAATGGGTATCATGTCACATTTCTAGAATGCTAGGAGCTCATATGATCTTGGCTATTTATGATATCATAGTGTCCTTACTTTGTGGCCACAAAACTCAATATCAATTTCTGCGGCAAAGCTACTTTGGACTGATCTATCCGTCATGTTTGAATCATTAATGGGCTGTCGTAGCCGCTAAGTACAGAATGCCAGCTACGAATAAGCGCCTGTTAACTAGTGCTTCAGACACAAAGGCAACCTTGGAAGTTATAGAAAAGTCTCTTACACAAAGTATGCTTTTTTCCCTTTTTCTGCCGTCTAGCTAACAAACTGAGAAGGAGGAGAAAATATTTATGAAAACAGACATCTAAAAAGACTAACTGAGAAGACTAACTGAGAAGAATATGAGAAGACCTCAAAAAAGACCACCAAAAAGACATCTAAAAGACCATCTGAGAATATCACCATATAAAAGACTACCAAAAAAGACTCGACACGGCCGGATAAGCGACCGACTATTATTGTCATACATCAATCAGGACCGCGCGTCTATGGACGACATGACTGCTGCTAGGCGACCGATTTCGGGCATAATAAGAGCAAGTGCACGTGTGTAAGCAATACTTTCTAGGTCGTTAGGTGACTTTTGCCCTTTAACAAAACCTTCTAGTTTCTCCTATCACGAACCCATTAGGTCAAATAATTTGTGAGAGCTGAAAGGCGAAGGCGAGTGTAAAAGTTCCTAAATCAGAGCAGAATCTAATTTGCATGCCGAAGCTGATTCTTGTTATCGCGTTTTGTACCAGTCAACCGACTGAAACAACCGTCGAAGCTATGCTTTACAAAACGGAACACCACCATAACCACAGAATTACATTTGTGTATATATGTCTGACTATAAACGGGAAGTCCACTCTAAGCGTAGACTATGTTTAACAGTCCCGATGGAGCTGGCAGTGTAAGCAAGTAACTATCTCGCTTATTGAAGGCACCCAAAACGGGACCCGTGCATGGAAGAATGCTCAAACAGACCCGAGCTCAGCGGCTACCATCGTCAGTCACCGGCTTTTCGGGGTGCTGAGAGTCAGGAGTACGAGAGGCGAAGGGAAAAGCAAACATAAGTGGAAAGGTTAGTCGACTTCAGCCAGTCGATCTCTACGAGTAAGTGTGATCGGTGGACAGGTGGTTTAGCCTTGTTCGGCAACGATAGGCAACTATCCAATACTTTGTGATCGTGCACTTTGCCTTCATATGGGCTATAAACGGGGGTCCAAGACAAGAGAGTCGCCACTTGTGGACTTGTGTACAATCACATGTGGAAATCATGGATTCAAAGGTATCAACAAGGCTATTCCAGTTTGTGAGTATTAAATACCAAACACACCTTTGATGCTTACTCCAAAATCAAAACATTACAGAGTAGATATCAACTGAGCGCAATAATCTAAATCAAAGCAAATCGCACCATGCCTGCACATAAACACCATACGCGATAGCGCCGGTGTCCAATTTCCGGTGTTCAGCACAGCCAAATTGCAAATCCGGCTCGACGTTAATAGAGAGTAATAAGGGACTAGGGCGTGCACACGCCCGGGACTCAATCAGAGACAGAGAGCGAACCCCACCCTTACCCCTTTCGTCACACAGCAGGATCAACACGAGCAATTTACCTCAATAAGTATCAGCGCAGATCCCGAATTGGATGAGGGATATGGAATTGGGAATAGTATTGCGCCTCACGGTAAGCAGAGGCCATGCTCATCTTCGTGTGCTTTGGTCGCTTTTGCGGTGCAGGTGGCGCTCGGGGACTGTAGGTACTGTAGGTACATGCGTCCTAGAGAAAATCAAATGTATTGAACGTGGATGTGGAATAGAATGAAATAAAGACATGATATCATGCAGAATAAGATTATTAGTTTATTGAAATGGTCAAGGAATAGCCAACCACCCAGACAATTGCCTATGATGCTCCTGCCTCTAGGTCTTTAATAGGATTAGCTTGGTTTGGAATCGCCTGCATCGGCGCCGGAAATGGCTGCAGAGCGTGTTGTCTCGGATATCCAGGCCGAACTTCCACTGCGCGGGGAAAACTGTACAACAATTGTAGGAATGATTAGTATTCTTGCACGCTCTGCCCCTGTACTATAGGATGACTATGATTGCTAAGAATGCGGCATATAACCATTGATCAGCCATCTCCCCACTTCACATACGACAGCGAGGGCGACTGCTCGGGTCCACTCGGCTACGTCCTGAAGTGATGATGGGTTTCATCGGTGTACCTCCTAATGAACAGGCCAGTACGGAGTACACTAGTTCGATCAGGGCCTGGGGTAGAAAGACTACGAAGTATGCTCATTAAACCCCCGCGACCATCCTTGTCTAGTCTGCTTAGCCCCTTTTTCGCCAGTCGATCGAGTGACCCCCACGCCGTAGGTTGTGGGGATTGAGCGGAGAAATAACGTCTCTGGGTATCTCTGATTCTCGTGTACTCCGTAGGCTCGAGTTATAATGGAATATCATAACCTGAGAATGCAGATAGTACGGAGTATAAGTCGGCAAATTACCGATCATACTTGAGATTTACACGCCACCAGAAAACACGGCTAGCTGTGCCAATCACAGTATTAGTCCGGACATAAAGTGCCAGGATAATATGTAGTTTGAAACCTATACTCCGTACTAAAAGAGAAAGAAGGCTAATTAGGGGCCAGACCCCTATATGACGTCGAGTATACGGAGTAGTGCACAGACACTTTTTTAACGCACAGACAGCGGGTTCTCTTAATATTTCCTCCCCTAAAGAGCTTCATGCAGGACGCCTCCCGGAGACTGGAGGTATTCTGTAGTATTATAGTATTATATAGTGTTACAGTATATTATATCCATATATATCTATACTCATACCGATATATATATGCACAATAATAAGTCGGAGTGTACGGACCTCGGGAGCATCCAAGCCGAAAAGAGCAGAAGGTCCATCCATGGTCACATTTTTGCCTTTTCCCGGAGTCTTTCAACTGGTTGGGATGAACTACCCCCCAAAGAAAAGGAAAAAGCATCCTTGAAAATACCCATACAGGTTCCGGTATTGGGACCCAGCAGTTCGGGTAGAAGTTATGAGCTGAGCGGACTTGATACGATTGGAGGCAAAATGATATATAGCCAGGGCCGGGATAACATAGTCTACCCTATGCAGACTTTCTCAATGTCGGAGCCGAGGAAATCGCGTTCCAGGAAAATTAAGAAAAATAAGAATCATCACACGTTGGGCAACCATGGTCGGCCATTACCTTGACATGTTTCAAGATGGCTTCTAGTATAGGCTTTTTGCCTTGTTGCAACCTGTCAGGATCCATGGGAAATGTCAATTCTTCTATATATTATTGTAGGCTCTACGGGTGAGTCCTAGACGTAAAGACCCAAGCCCAGTGGCAAATCCGCCACTGGAAAGAACATCAACTACATCTATATAATCTATAATGTATTTAGGAATAAAATAATATGTACTATCTAGTAGGAATATAAAGCTCTTAGATTAATCTGCAAACAGCCCGGAATTTCAGAGCTGACAGCCCCACTACTAGTATGGGTAAAACATGAAATTTGATATATTCAATTTCCAAAGTAAATCAATTAACAGATATAGCTTATCCTTATTTCTTTAACTGTTATTTTTGAGCTGCCATTATTTGGGCTTGAACAATCGACTTGCTATTAAATTTATTTTGGTTCTTGGCGTCCCGAACATCGCTCTGCCCTATTACCCACCCAACCTCCCCCTTCGACTCTTCAACTCTCCCCTCTTGTCTCGGTCTCTCTACACATCATTTTCTCTTTCCCTTTTTTTTTTTTAATTCTTACAGCTGCTTGGCTGTCTTGCCTTTCCTTTCCACTTTACTTTCGGATCTCTTATTCTTGATTGATTCCGATCTCGCTCCCCCCCTCCATCCCCGAGAACTGGCCATCCGAATGAGCCTAACCCCGAATTATTTATAGCATCTGTTGCAACGGCACTCCTTTTTTTGACTCAAAATCCCCACGTGTGGATGTGGGATCGTCCAAACCCTCGTGCAGTAGCAGGTCTACCTCGTGCCCTTCCCCCCCCAAGGCGACAACCCGCTGTCCGGTACACGGTTTCCGTTGCATAGTTGTCGCCATCCCTATTGACTTCACGAAAGTAATGCCGACCTGTTCGTGCGTGCCAACAGAGCTTTTTGTCAGCTCCCCTTGAACCAATCATTACGAGGGAAACCAAAAAAAAAGTGTCGAATTGGAGGATGTTCAACTAGGATGCTCAACTGCACTTTCGGCACAGCTGCCTCGGCCCACTCCCTTTGAAATAATATCACCAAAGAAGGAAGGGAATATGACGGAAATTCGGTCCTCGCAAGCTGGTCTGGAGGATCCGGATCAGCTGGCTCGGAATCGTCATGTCTCAAAAAATCACAAGCGGGATCCCAGCCGGTCCGACGAGTCACCGCAACTACCATCTGCGTCAAACGACCAAACCGAGTCTCACCCCCAACCCAAATCATCCGCGGAACAACCGTCCATTATCACCGATGTGTCGGAAGCTACCGCGACCTTCCGCCAGGCCTTCCCCGGCCTTTACGGTGCCCGGACCCCCTCGAATCGCTCGTCATCGAGTTCCCTACAAGCCCTCAACGAAGGTATTGTGGTCGATGTCCGATCGGAAAGTGGAAGCATTGGAAGGACCACTCGACGAGCCTCGAGACAATCGGATCATCAATTACCAGTTTACCCCGATCAGTCCTATGCCTCCCTCCAGTCTCAGGTACATCCCACCTGGCAACCACCCCACCTCGCAGAACCAGAACCGCTACCCAGACACTCCTATGCCCGTGGTATTCGTACCGCGGGTAACACTCCGCTGTCGAGCCCGGGGCTCTTCTCCATGAGACACTCGCGTTTGGGAACGCCATCTGCGTCGGACGATGACATCTCGGTGGGAAGCTCACTTCTCCATCCATCACACCTTCAGCCACCGAAAGAAACACACACCGCCGAAGTTGATCGCGACATGGTTACGGGAAACAAAACCATCAATCAGTATGAGATCCTCGAAGAGCTTGGACGTGGTGAACACGGCAAAGTGAAATTAGGCCAGCATGTTGCGACTAAGCAGAGAGTTGCCATCAAGATTGTCCAGCGGTACTCGACTCGCCGTCGGTTAGGCAAGTTGGGCAATCCAGAAGACAAAGTGAAGAAGGAGGTGGCTATTTTGAAGAAGGCGCGGCATCCAAACGTGGTCAGCCTGCTCGAAGTCATCGACGATCCGAATCGACAAAAGGTATACATCGTGCTGGAGTATGTCGAAAATGGCGAGATTGTCTGGCGCAAGAAGGGTCTACGAGAAATTGTCCACGTCGACAAGCTACGTCTTGAGCGGGAAAAGAATGGAATCCCAGACACTCCCGCGTTTTTGGAAGAGAGCCACCAATTTATTCGAACGGCTCAGCATCTGCGGCGGCAACGGGAAAGGGCTCGCGAGCGGATTGAAGCACAGGCTGCTGACGCCCAGCAAGGGCCAATCCCCGCTTGGAGTTTGGAGCACGGTGCGGAATCTTCAGATGAGGAGGATGATGAGTCCGGTATTCCCATCAGGAGGTCATCTAGCCGTTCTGTTGCAGTAACAGATGACTCAAGCCCATCCTTCACCCAGGACCCGTCTCTAACTGCCGTCGAGGGCAGCATGTACGGCGCCTATTCAGATTACCCGTTCGAACGACGTTCCAGCACTGCCTCGAGTAGCTTTGGTTATGCCCCCTCCGAACCCGAGTGGTCTGCAGAGGGCGATGACATGGCATTCGTTCCTTGTTTGACTATCGGTGAAACCCGCAGCGCATTCCGGGACTCGGTACTTGGCTTAGAATACCTCCACTACCAGGGTATCATCCACCGGGATATCAAACCGGCCAATTTACTCGTCACCAGCACTCATCGGGTGAAGATCTCTGATTTCGGTGTTTCCTACCTAGGACGCCCAATGCGGGACGAGGAAGAAGAGCAGGTGGGCGAGACCGATGCGACGGAGCTAGACGATGCCCGTGAATTGTCCAAGACTGTTGGTACTCCAGCCTTCTATGCCCCTGAATTATGTTATACCGGCGATGACTTTGTGGAAACCATTGGGTCGATCCCCAAGATCACTGGTGCGGTCGACGTTTGGTCGCTTGGTGTCACATTATACGGAATGATTTTTGGTCGCCTACCGTTTGTTTCGGATGATGGGTACAGCATGTTCCAGACCATCGTTAAGAAGGAAGTCTTTATTCCACGGAAGCGCCTTGTACCCGTGATGGATGAGGCGTCCGACTCCAACCAGTGGAACCTGAGAAATGACGATGAGCTCGTCTATGAGGATATCGACGATGAGCTATACGATCTGCTCATGCGTCTGTTGACCAAAGACCCCATCAAGAGAATCACCTTGAAAGAGATTAAACACCACCCTTGGACACTCCATGGTCTTCCCAACCCTCGAATTTGGATTGAGGAGACCGACCCTGGCTTCCAAAGTAAGGGTAAGCGAATTGAGGTCTCGAATGAAGAAGTTACAAGCGCTGTCAGCAAAGTCCCTTTCATTCAACGCGTTCGGTCCAATGTCGCCAAATGGTTTGGCAGCGGTCGATCGAAGGACAAGGAACCTCACAAGCGCACATCGAGCACAACACCGTCTACCGAGACCCTGTCCTCTGCTGCAAGTAACAGCACATTCGGGAAAACCTCCCGCGACAGTCGTCGGTCCAGTTTGCGAGGGGACGAGGAATTCTTCCGGCCGCTCAAATTTGGCAGTCAAGGACACCCGCTCGCCCAGAGCGTTACTGCAAGTCCGGTTGATGAAGGCGATTGGGCATCTTATTTCGATGCCGTGCAACCAGCTGCAGCAAAGCTTGCAGCTGCGACCAAGATTGCCCCTCCACGTCCTACCGTGACACCTCGACCTGGCCCTCCTCGTCGCGCAAAGTCCTCAATGTCTACAGCAGAATCCGCAAAGACGATCAAGCCATCCAGTTTCGATGTCCCATTGACTGCTCGGCCATTCTCCATCATCGAAGCCCTAGGACCGACCAACTTGGGTAATTTGTTCAGTGGGGCTACTCGGCGGGCATCACGAGGCAGTCGCAGTCGGCGCACTTCTCCGTCTGGCGAGTCGGGATCTCTGCATGGGGATGGAGAACGTCGCTCTGCTGAGCCTACCATCGCTGTCAGCAATGCGTCTGCCCATGGTCAAGTGCGCACTCCCGGCTTGTGGCATGAGGAGGAAAATCCTTCTGCCGAGCAATTGGCCCCTAGTCGTACGCACCGGCGCCATCGATCTTCGCAACTCGAGGATACATCACCTGCAGAATCTCTCAACCTTACAAGGGATGCACTCCTGCGCCGTAGACGGAGCGACATCGACGCAAATGAAGGCGGTACCTTGAGAGTTGACTACGCGATGTACTCTACCGAATCGCTCCTACTGCCTCCCATCACTCTACCTACCAACCAAGGATGTCCTGCTGACAACACCACCAATGGGTTGGCCACTTCCACCTCGGCCACTATCTCTTCCTCTTCTGCCGACGACTTCACTAGCGGCATGTCCCAGAGTGCCTCACACCCCAGCATTCCGTCGGTTGTCTCAAACGCATCGTCTCTGTCCGGTGATGGTTACTCGGTCAAGGGCAATGACTTGGACGAAGTACCCTCTATGCTCCGAACCGGAGAGACACTCAAACCACCTCGTCCGAGCTCGCCCCGGTCGTCCGAAGAGGACGAGTCGAGGTACTACTGCGATGACGAGGACGAGGATGAGTCGGAAGATGAAGGCCTTGTGATCGGAAAACGCAAGCCGCCTCCCAAGGCTGCTGCATCGGATATTCCGTCTCAGCTATCGAACTGAAATGTGGCCGGTCCCGATCAGTCCAGCCCAGTCCAGTCCAGTCCAGTCCAGTCCACCTCTACTCCGCCCGCCTACCACACCACCTTTACAACACTCACATTATCTACCACCACGTCCTTTATCCTTCGACGCTTCCTAACTATACCTAGTGAAGTTGTTGTATATCACCGAATTTCGTTTTGATTCTCTTTCCATTCCGGTTCCCGGCAGGCTGGTATCTGGAAATCGTTCCTAGAAATTGTTCCATACATTCTACATGGTCTGTACATATATACACAAACTCGCACGAGCATCCATTGGTGCCTCCTTGCGAAGAGTTCCCCGGTGTCCTCCGACCGGCTGCGTCGGCATATCTGTTCTGTTCTGTTCTATTGAGTTCAGTGTCTGTGACTATGAATATGGAGGGCAAAGAGTCCCCCAGTGCATTTGAGGGGTTTCTTTCTCTTTTTTTCTTTTTGTTCTTCCTTCTTGGTCTTATGCATGGATCAGGGGCCAGATTGCTTTCTATTTTTTTAACTGTATGTAATGTTGACTTTGTCAAAACCAGGCGGGTTGGGTTTTGGGGCCATATTTTGGATTCCTTGATCCTCGAGGGACTGCAGAGTGTGTCTCTTGGGAAATTTGAGCAATTGCGACATGACTGATATATGATTCTGGGAGGCGAGACGTCTAGCGTGTGATGAAGAAATGAAATATTTGGGGTTTTGGGACTTTTGATTTTATCCCTCCCCCTGAGACGAACGTGTTTCCCATACATTGTACTCCGTAGAAGATCCCTGTCTAAAATTCATGCCATACTTCGTCATAGTATACTTTTCTTAATTCCTCCAGTGGAGTTCCACGTGGAATTATATGCCCCTTGTCTCACTTTGAAATCTCAGCGATATACTTCCACCAATGATAACATCAGAGGATTGCAGACTTTACCACAGCATTGAGTCTTCAGTGTCCTTATATGCATAAATATCACCACTAATTTAGACTTCCCTTGTCTCACCTTTTGTTTCACAGCGGGAACTAACCCAAAGAAGGCTTCCAGTGTTCAGTCCGGACAATTTTCTCCTTCGAGTCTTGTACAAGATATAATGGGGGGGATTTTCGGAGAAATTTGAAATCCGCTATACACTACTCCGTAGAAAGATGCCAAGTACATAGGAGAGTGTTCCGTACTCCGTAGATAGAATAAAAAGCGGTCCAGTCTCTACAATTCCCTCCCTCCACTTTACAGAGCCATCGATCTTAATTGACTTCATTCAGCTCTGACAAGTGGTTGCCCACCATGCTTCCTTGCCTCCTTCTAGCTGCTTCACAGCTCTTCGCCTCAACATCCGCCGCATTAACCTACAATGGCGCGGATATCTCCTCCCTCCTCGTCGAGGAAGATAAAGGCGTCTCTTACAAGAACCTCGCTGGCACGCCGCAAAAGCTGGAAACCATCATTTCGGCCAGCGGCGTCAACTCAGTTCGCCAGCGTATCTGGGTGAATCCCAGTGATGGATCGTATGACCTGGACTATAACGTTATGCTCGCGAAGAGGGTACAGGCGCAGGGCATGGGCACGTATCTCGACTTGCATTACAGTGATACATGGGCGGACCCGAAAGCACAGGTAAGAAAATAACACTTTCCCACGAGACTGTTTGATCTAATGACTAATCTACTTACTTCTTCAGACCACTCCCTCGGGCTGGTCCACAACGGACATTGGAATCCTTGCCGGGCAAGTGTACGACTACACACTGAACGTATGCAACACGTTTGCGGACAACAAGCTCGATGTAGAGATCGTCTCCATCGGCAACGAAATCCGCAACGGCCTGCTATGGCCGCTGGGTGCAACAAACAGCTACAGCAACATTGCACGGATCCTGCACTCCGCCGCGTGGGGTGTGAAAGATTCCAAGCTGGCAACCACTCCCAAGATCCTGATCCACCTCGACAACGGCTGGGACTGGGCGGGTCAGTCGTACTTCTACAATCAAGTTCTGGCATCCGGGTCTGCGCTCCTCTCCACGGACTTTGACTACATCGGGGTCTCTTACTACCCCTTCTATAACGCGGGTGCGACCCTCGCTGCGCTGAAGACGAGTCTCACGAAACTGCACTCTACGTACAAGAAGGAGACACTGGTTGTCGAGACGAACTGGCCATTTACTTGTCCCAATCCCGAGTTTGCATTCCCGTCGGATCTCAAGGATATTCCATTCTCGGTTGCTGGGCAGCAGACTTTCCTTCAGAGGCTTGCTAAGGCTGTGGAGGATGTTGGTGGGTTGGGCATTTATTACTGGGAACCTGCTTGGGTTGATAATGCTGGACTTGGGAGCAGCTGCGATGATAACTTGTTCTTTGCTTGGTCGAATGATCAGGCCAGAGCTAGTCTGGATACATTGGGTGGTCTGTGAGAGTTTCGTATATCAACAATCTCACCTCAGTGATGAAGTATACAGGGGTTAGCCCTGTCACCTGATTTGATACTTGGCTCGAATCAGATGGTATGCAGGGAGATCTGTAAAGTTAGGCAACAATCAGGAAACATTGAAAGTACGAAGTAAAAGCCAAGGCAGACTGTTGAAGTGTGCCTTGCCCAATAGCTTATAATCCCCGATGCCTAAATAGGACTAGCGCTCATGGGCCTCAGCTGGGTGGCTGTGCAAAAGCTAAGACCAAGTTCTCTTTAGCGTTACCCCCTCCACTTTGGGAGATCGGGGATGAAGTGCTTCACGGCCTAACATCTGTATATTCAACAGGCAGCGCTTTTCTTTTCAATTGAATCTCTGAGAATGTGTAGTACATGTATAAAAATAGTCTGTGTTCGTATATCTGTTATCAGGGTGGACACTGATAATGCCAATGTGGGGAGAGACCCATTTGGGGTTCTTTAGGAGGAACTTGTACGGAGTAATAGAAGAAGGTGGGAACTCTCTCTCTGTCTCTTTGCGCTTAGGGCACCCACAGGGGAATATTATGGGAATATCATATATTAAAATAATAATTCCTATAACTCCAGAGCCTATCCCGTATGTACAACACACCAGTTGCTATACACAGACGTGTTTGACCTAGACCGCCTTGCGCACGTGAAAACGCCTAACCTTCAACTCTCCCTCATTTACCCTCTCATTGCGGGATCTCTCGTCAAACTCCAGGTATCATTGCTCTCAGAGATGATGAGGCAGTCTGGCGACCGCTGACAACATAGCTCAGAGGCTCATCCGCGCACCGGACCCGATCCTGGACCCTTGCGAATGACATCCCACCACATCGTCAGACACCATTATCCCTACAACACCAGGCGTCCACGACCCTGACAGACTTGCTCGTCTAATCTGCCCCTGTCGCCAAATCTCTGCGCTATATCCGATCCCTACTCCGTCCCTCTTCTCTGATCACAGCTTCAGCTTGGCGCTCGTGAAAGAGCCCTCACCCGCGCGCATTCGCAAACATGGCCTCGCATGACCAGAACCACGGCACGGCCTATTGTCAGGGGGATATCAAACATCGGAGCGTCAGCCCTTCACCTCACGGCCAACAGTATCACGACCCCAACTCCGGCGGATTAGGAGTTGACCCCTCCATGGCCGCTTATTCGACAAACCCCTCCTTTCACAATCCTGACGGCAGCATCGGTGGCACTGAAGCATACGGATACCCAAGCTACCTTGCTGGAGCACCCTCGACACAGACATTATCGCCGCCGACAGACCAGAGCTATGCTCCAACCATCAATACCAACAACCTTCCGATATCGCAGTCGTTTGAGACAAGCCTGGTCAATCAGCTCGAGCACTCTTCGACGGGACTCGGACCGATGCAGGGCGACGAAAACTTCTCCAATATGCTCAACTCAAATCACCCAGAATTGGACTTTTCTCTCTACCAGAATCACAGCCCCAACAGCACTTCCACCCCCGAGTACGATTCTTCGTTATTGCTAGACCCGCAAATGCACCAGCGCCAGTCAATCAACCAAGCAATCAACCCTGCTGATCTGGTCAGCCCCATCTCCAATACTTCAGTATCTTCGCATCCATCATCGCAAGATCTGCAGCATTCCTCACCTGGCCCCATGTCCCCTCCAGGATCCACACCAGGTACATACTATACCCCTCGGCATTCACGACACACTTCCCTTGACCCAGCTACTGCCGCGTATTTGAGCGCCCAGTCAGGTCCAGACTGGCAGTCGGTTATGAATAATGTTTCCTTCCAGGGCCATCGACGTGCACCGTCTGAGGTGTCTGAGGTATCATCGGCCAACCACTCCCCCTACTTGTCTCAGCACGAATTCGATGGCATCGAGAACAATGCATCGCCTTCTTTGGCTCCCCAAAGTGATCCAAGTCTTTACGACAATGGCCTAGGCATGGAATCATTCACGTTGTCAGAGCAGCATCAGCAGGGGATCAGTCCTCTCCACAGCCCGTATATCTCTCCGCGGTTGATGCCACAGCAGGGGGGTGAGATGGTGCCGAATAATTCGTATCTCACTCAGTTCCCCTCGGCGCCGACCGACATGTACGGAATGCCCCAAGAGGACATGATGAACATGGGCCAATTGAATAATATTCCGGGCGACATTGGTCAAGCTTCACAGATGGCTCCTCCATCGATCAATGTTGAGTTTGCCCCGCCATTGCGGAATCCAAACTTCGATCCATCCAAATCAACGGCAGATTTTGACTCATTGAGCCCTCCCGCTATGCGTAAGTGCCAATTTACAGCCGGTTTGGTTGATACGATACTAACCAGAACATGTTATTAGGATCCCGTGTTCGTAGCAAATCTGATCCTTATCACCCTGCTTCCCGCCCACGCTCTCCTGCAGCTTCAGCAACATCTCTGGAGCCTCGCGCGCCTGCCACCCCACGATCTTTGTCCCCTGTTGGATCGGTTGGCTCTCACTCGCGCAGTAACCCCAGTTCGCGAGATCCCTCGCCCTCCCGATCAAACCGACGCCTCTCCACCTCATCAATCGAGAACCGGAACTACATCCTAGATCTCGCCGATCCACAAAGACCCGGAGCAGCACCCGGGGAGCCAAAACGAATCCAGAAACACCCAGCTACCTTCCAGTGCACCCTATGTCCGAAACGCTTTACCCGCGCATACAATCTGCGATCCCACCTCCGCACCCACACCGACGAACGACCATTCGTATGCACAGTATGCGGCAAAGCATTTGCACGGCAGCACGACCGCAAACGCCACGAAGGCCTCCATTCCGGCGAAAAGAAATTCGTCTGCCGCGGCGAGCTCTCCCGAAGCGGACAATGGGGCTGTGGCCGCCGCTTCGCCCGTGCAGACGCTCTGGGCCGCCACTTCCGCTCCGAGGCGGGCCGGGTATGCATCAAGCCTCTTCTCGACGAGGAGTCGCAGGAGCGTGACCGTGTCTTGCTAGAGCACCAGCAGCAGCAGCAACATTCGCCATCCGGCCATCTTCAGCCAATCCCCCAGCCGCTTGTTATGCCCAACATGCCCGGCATAGATGGGCAATCGACGGGCAACTTCGTTCTTCCTGCTGCTCTTCTGGCGCAATACCCGGCTCTGCAAACATTGCAGTGGGACCAGATTTCGGCTGTGAGTGATGATCCGGGTGAGATTGGTGGGCGGAGTAGCTTTGATGCTAGCTCTGGTGGGGAGTTTGGCTTTGACGAGGATGATTCGGGGATGGGTGGTGGTTATGGTAGTAACCAGGGGAGTATGTACGGTGTCAATAACTCTGGTCAGATGTTGGGGGTCAATCCTGGGGACCCTGGGTACTCTGATCAGAAGTGGACTGGATGACACTGGTATGTTCTACTTCGTTATCTGTTCCCTACCTCTTTCTTTCTTCTTTCTTCTTTCTTCCTTCTCTCCCTGTTTCAGGTTTCAAAAAGGATATTGCATGATGCATTCCATCTGCATAAAGCCGGTTCTTTTGTTTTCAATTCTGCCTGTATAGAAAGGCTTGTTGGCGTTCAGATATAGGATGCTCTCGGGGATGTCTGAGGTTTTCCGAAGCTCGGCAATCAGGACATATGATTGTCTTGGTGTTTTGTTTTGTTTTTTTCTGGTCTTTCTAGACATCGGTGTTTACCATGCCATCTTTTTGGTCGTTTGTGTTTCATTCTTATTCTCTTGGTCTTTCGACTTCCCGTTCGAGATGGTTGCTGTTCTGCCCATCTCATTACTTATGAAAGAACCAGGCATCATGATGCCTTTTTATGATATTCCCATACTCATTTCATGCCCAACTGCTTTTCTTCTTTTCTTGCTTTTCTTCTATCATGAATTCTGTTTCGTTTTGATGTCACAGCTTCAAAACTATATACCATGACATACAATGAATGAATTGCGCTCAATCGAATCGAATGTCTTGGCCCTCTCAGCCTAGTATTTATTTACTACTGTGCCAACTTCATATTGCACCACTTACACTCTAGTGAATCAGGAAACAGTAGAATACAGATCACATTGGATATCATCTAGTCGGCAAAACAAATCTAAAACCACCGAAATTCACCATATACAAGGTGAGGGACTACTATAATGCAATCCAAGCTAATCATCAACTCCAGATCGAACCCAACAACCCATTTTTATGGTGTCAAAACAGTCTGAAATCCACCTCCACCTGCTCCACTCTTCTCTTTAAGAGTGAGCCTTCTTAGCCAACAAGTTCAGGGCACTACCAGCAAGGATAAATGCACACTGGTCCTTACTGAAAGTGTGCTGAACAGGAACCTCAAACACCTCCCCAGTCTTCTGCTTAGTAACACGCAGCTTGATCTCACCCTGTCCACCAGTCTGCAACACATCATAAAGACCAACAGTATCAACCTTATCACAAGCATCAATACGGTCATAGTCCTCACGGTTCGCAAATGTAAGAGGCACAACACCCTGCTTCTTAAGGTTCGTCTCGTGGATGCGGGCAAAGCTCTTGGAAACAATAACCCGGCCGCCGAGGTAGCGCGGCTGCAGCGCAGCGTGCTCGCGCGCAGAACCCTCGCCGTAGTTATCCTCCGCAACAACAAGCCACGAGATTCCGCGCTCCTTCCACGCCTCCGCTAGCTCTGGGATACCGTACTTCTTGCCGGCTTCGTCGTAGGCGACGTTCGTCTCGCCAGTTGCGGCGTTGACGGCGCCAATCAGCGTGTTTGCGGAGATGTTGGGCAGGTGGCCCTTGTACTTTAGCCATGGGCCTGCGGCAGAGATCGTGTCGGTCGTGCACTGGCCCTTGACCTTGTACAGGACCTGCAGGCCTGAAAGATCGCCCTTGGGGAAGGGGGCGAAGGGCTCGAGGAGGGCGAGGCGGTCGGAGGTCGGTGAGACAATGACTTCGCTGCTTGCGTCTGGGACGGCGGCTGTGGGCAGGAAGTTGGGGTTACCTTCTTCGAAGCCGGCGCTGGGGAGATCGAAACCGCTGGGGGGCTGGAACTTGAAGGTTGAGCCGTCTGGTGCGGTCAGGGAGTCGGTCATAGGGTTGAAGGTTGTGCTGCCGGAGTAGGCGAGCGCGGTGACGAGTTCCGGTGAGGCGAGGAAGTTCATTGTTTGCCGGTTGCCGTCGTTACGGCCGGGGAAGTTGCGGTTGTAGGAGGTGAAGATGGCATTGTCTTCGCCCTTGGGGACGCCGTCGGTGCGCTTCCATTGGCCGATGCAGGGGCCGCAGGCGTTGGCGAGGACGATGCCGCCGGCTTCGGAGAAGGTGTTGAGCGTTTGATCGCGGTCGAGAGTGGCGCGGATCTGTTCACTGCCGGGAGTGATGAAGAAATCCGCCTTGGGCTTGAGGCCTGCTGCGCTAGCCTGCTTAACGAGATCCTCGGCGCGGGTCATGTCTTCGTACGAGGAGTTGGTGCAGCTACCGATGAGGCCGGCGCCGAAGGTCTCGGGCCACTTCTTCTCACGGACGGTGTCGGCGAACTTGGACAGCGGCACCGAGAAGTCGGGGGTGAAGGGTCCGTTGATGTGCGGCTCGAGCTCGGACAGGTTGATGGTGACCAGCTGGTCATACTCGGCCTTGGTGTCGGCACGCAGCAGGCTCGAGGGGCCAGCGGCGGCAACCTCAGCAGCGGCCTCCGCGACGTGGCCGCGGTGGGTCGACTGCAGGTAGGGAACCATACTAGGCGAGAAGGGGAAGATCGAGGTGGTAGCACCCACCTCAGCACCCATGTTACAGATGGTAGCCATACCCGTGCAGCTCAGAGTCTCGACACCAGGGCCGTGATACTCAAGGATGTAGCCAGTGCCACCGCGGACAGTCAGCTTGCCAGCCAGGGATAGGATGATATCCTTAGGCGAAGCCCATCCGCTGAGCTTGCCCTCGAGGCGAACACCGAGAACCTTAGGAGCCTTCAGCTCCCAGGGGGCGTCGACGAGCGCATCGACAGCATCGGCACCACCAACACCGATAGCAATAGCACCAAGACCACCTCCGTTGGGAGTGTGGCTGTCCGTACCGAGCATCATCAATCCAGGGGCGGCGTAGTTCTCCAGCACGCTCTGGTGGATGATACCAGCACCCGGGGGCCAAAACTCAATACCATAACGCTTGGCAGCACTCTCCAGGAAGTCAAACACCTCACTGTTACCCTTGATTGAAGCCGGCAGATCGGTATCGGCACCACGCTCACCGACGATCATGTGGTCGCAGTGAATACTGGCCGGAACAGCGGTGGAGGGAAGACCACAGGACATGAATTGGAGTAGAGCCATCTGGGCCGAAGCATCCTGCATGGCGACGCGGTCGGGCTTCAGCTTCAGATTGGCCTTGCCTCGAACGTCGCGGCCGTTGTTGGTCCCGGTGAGTAATGACTCCTCGGCATTGTCCAGATGCGCGTAAAGGATCTTCTCGGCGAGGGTGAGTGCGCGGTCGGAGCCAAGGACTCGGCGGACCTGTTCGAGGTTGCGGACGAGCTTGGGATACGGGGGCATGCGGGAGGAGGAGGCCTCGGTGGCTAGGCCACGGGCGAAGAGCCGTTGTGAGGAGAGCCGTGTGGCCATCTATAAGGTGTTAGTTTGCCCAATTGAGTTGTCTTCAATGTTTACTTACCCCACGAGAGGCAGAAACCTGCTGCCAAACAAGCTGGCTCACCATCTTCACTAATGTCAAGTTTGGAGAGAAACTGGGGGAGGAGAAGATGATGTTCCCTTTTTTCCTCCGGTAGGTTATTTGTCTTCGCTCTGATTGGCCGGCAGTTACGCCGATTTCGGAATCCAGGCCTCTATTATGTGGGGAAATAGCCCTGAAGGCTTGGTATCTATACGACCACATCATATATGTACATATGTAGGAACCAAATGTCTCAATAATGCCTTCCTCTGACAATGAATCTTGGTACTTCTCACGCTCAGGTGCTAATCTATCTGGCTAAGAGTCTGAGGCATGTTCTTATGATTTTTCGCATGAGTTCCGTCACATAACTGGCAGAAAGGCGCGCACTAGATTAATAGTCGATTATACAGCTACTATACATGTCGTCACCGAACTTGTATATCATCTTATAAGATGTCATTATTACTACTTCTCTAAAAAGGAAAAGAACGGTACTATCCTTATTTAGGGCTAAAAGCTTATTTATCGACATATGATGCAGGGAGTACGCCCTGCTTAATTCAAAACTTCGTCTCCGTCATGCCCGCCCTTTTCCTAGTTTTAGCTTCGTTCGGTTTTCTACTACTCGCTATGAGCACCAAGTTCAGCATTCTCCCACATTTGAGGTCTACCAAGACGGACACAGTTGAGTGCAAAATCGCCAAGACCACCATGAACAAAGACAAGGCCACCAAGACTCAAGTCATGCAAGCCTCCGAGAAACTCCCGACTTATGAAGAGATCGCAAAGTCGTCCAAAAAAAACTTGATGGATAAATCGGAGAAGAAAATAAGAAACGCCCAGAAGCCAGAAGACCTTCTTGTCCACCTGCTTTCAACCGAATTGAGTATTGCAGACAAAAAAACTCTCCTTCGAGGCGCCCCGATGCGTATATACGACTACAATCATCACCGAAAAAATGCCGAGAAGGTTGAAGCTCAACTTAAAAACGCAGGCTACGGTAAACTTGCCATAACCCTATACTGGTGTTTCTTTTGGTATAGGGTGCGGCCGAGGGGGCCAGAAAGCTGGATCAAGGAACTGATTGAACTTGATATCGAGGGACGTTGGATTGCTCAACGAAAGGCCTACATTCAAGAAAAAGTTCAAGCCTTGCAAATCTCATCAGAGCTACTTCTATCTTTCGAAGATGAAGCTAAATATGCATCACAACTGAAGATTTACAAGGAACAGCTCGAAGACTTTAATAGAAGGCATTGGGCTCTTTCTAGGAAGAAGTGGACTAAAGAGGGTTCTATAGAAATCTGGTCGTTCCGCCGAGCATATCATATACAAAGAGCGTGTCCAGACTGGTATCTCAATCATGACTTGACCAATGATTGTGTAGGACGAGGTGGTTGTTGCAGACGGAGCTGCGGCTGCTGTAAAAGACCGCGGACAGTTGATGGGTTCGAAGATGCTATCAACACTCGAGGTCATTGTACTACAGCATGCGGTTGCTGCCTGAAGGCCTATGGGGTCGAAGATGTGGATATCGGGATGAATGGAGAGATACCAGACTTACAAGAGCTTTGTTTTGAGTACAAAAATCACAATTTGATGACTTATCATAGCCGACGGCTGCTGGGGGGTTATGCTTTCGATTTCTTCAACCCGGAATGAAATAACCACAGGACTATGAGTTACATTCACCTCGAAATTACTAGGTACTGACTGAGCTTTCTGTTGGATGGCATTGCTATTTTGCTAGAAACGCGTCATTGATTTCACGATAAGTCGCCATTCAAACCTGTCAGGGGCATCTATTGCTTGGTCGTTGCTGTTTATTGCTGTTATTTCTAGTTGAAATGAAAAGATTAGTTGTTTCGTTGTCGCTGTCTATCAAGTTTTAATGACAAATCCTTGAGCGAGCAATTGCATCAGGTAAAGTCAGCCGTTGGAACTATTGAGAATATTAACTTTTTGGCCGACAACCTTTTCAAATACGAAGTTATTATAAGATGATGATGTGTTGACATTTAACTTATTTCCTCAACTTCAGCTTTTTCAATTCTCAAATACGAAGTTATTATAAGATGATGATGTGTTGACATTTAACTTATTTCCTCAACTTCAGCTTTTTCAATTCTCAAATCTATATTAAGAAGAGAACATGGCTACGGACTCTCAGTTGAGCAAAATGCAGTCCTCAGAAAAGCTCCCAAGTTATGAAAAGACAACGCAAGCCTCCAAGTCCATGATATCAAAGTTCACCGGTCAACTTGAAAGTACGCGAAGTCGCAAGGGCTTGCTACATGTCCTCTTGTCGGACAACGGACTAGGCCCCGACGACAAACGCAAAGCTATCGAAGAAGCAGATAAGATCCCAGCCATTCAGCGAGAGAAAGATACTATATGGCTTGAAGACACACTTCGGCTTCAAGGCTCTCATAAGCTTGCTCAGTCAGTGTGTTATTATTATAACATCACATACGCCTCGAAGTACAAAGTTTGGTGCAGAGCACTCATTCAGGCTGATATTGAAATACGCTGGATTGTCCAACGAATGATGTGGGTTCATCAACAAATACAAAACTGTGGGCCTCGGACCTTTGAACCATACCTCAAAAAACTGAGTCCGAGGTACTGGAGAGCCCATGGGTTATGTTTTTTATTTCAATTAAATTCAGAGAACAATAAGACTGGTGGATTGGGGAGGGAGATTTGCTTGGTCTCGGGCATGAATTGCTTTATGTTGACGTGAGAGACTGTGGATTTATTAGCCTTACTAGGACTCAAATGATTTCTTCTAAAATTGGTTCCCTAAATATGTTTTATATGTTCAGCACGTACACATTGAAGAGGGGAACGCTCTAGGCAGTATGCTCTTTATGTCATACGGGTCGATTCAGCACTCGTAACTCAGCGTCATACCCACCGAGGCATACAAAAAGAACCAGGACGTCAGTCCAAGAAGTGAGTTCAGAGAGGTGTAGGAGTGTGTATTGTCAATCTGTAACTATCTGCTACTTGTAACCTCTGCACTTCAATGCTTGCATAACAAAACTGCAAAAAGAAGGAAAGGACAGGCCAATACGTAGTGAGGACTATGTCCACCACTACAATATGTAGGTTCTAGATGGTTCTTCATCCCTTCCAAGGTTGTATACCATGTCTAGAGAGGGCAAGAGCCCTAGCCCTGGAGGAAACTAAACCCAAAACTACGTAACTGGCCGACAATGATTTAAGCTTACCTAGGTAGCTTGTTCTATTACACAACATTCTGGCTTCTTCGCTACAGTTTGACCACAGAAAAAATTCAATTTTCTGCTATGGGCAACGTCAATACCAATATGAAGATTCCCGACTCTGCAAAGTCCGCTACTGACAGAGCCGAGTTTCCGTCAAGCCAAATGCAATCCCAACAAACACCACCAACATACGAAGAGAGCACGCAGAATGCGATGGAAAAATACGAAAGGCAAGTGGAACTTGCCAAGACCCCTGAGGACCTGTTAGAACCACTCTTGTTAGGCATGAGTATCGATGAAAAACGAGAGCTCATAGAGGATGCTCCAGAAGTAGTCTTTGTGGAGTCTGGGGACAAGACAATAAGAACTTTGAGCCTTGAGAGTCGGCTTGAAAATGCAAACTGCGACGAGCTTGCTCAACGGGTAGCCTACCGTTACCATTTACTCAACGCATCATCGAACTGAGACTGGTGCAAAAAACTCATTAAGCTGGATATCACCCTACGATGGATTGTTCAGCGCAGAATATTGTTTGAGCAAAAGGCTAAAGCCCAAAGAAGGTATATGTCTCACTCGGATTCATTTCAGCTTGAGGCCTATGAAAAGCAAATTAAATCCCTCAATTCGAGATGCTAGGATAGTCATAGGGAGCAAGAGATCAAGTCAGACAGCCTTGGAAGATATGGAGCACTGCGGCGAGACGCGCACTGACAAGGCAGAGAAAGCGCGCAGATCGGTATCTCTCGGGTATGCTTCGTAAAGACACTGCAAAACGAGGGGGCTGTTGTGGACGCAGATGTGGATATTGCGAGAGGAGGCGAATGACTGAGCCTAATACAGATGGGGTCCGGGATAGAGGTCACTGTACTACAGCATGCAGTTGCTACCTCCAGGCTCACGGGATTGATGGGGGAAATCTCGAGATGAAAGACGTGAATGAAGTTCACTTCACAACTAGTGATCCTGATCCCCCACACTCTGCGACTGCTTAAGGGATATATCTTCTATTTGAACGAGATGGAATGAATGTCAAGGCAGATCATGGGTTTTGCTTATGCTGGAAATATTGCTTGGTCAACTTGAGTTATGTGAACTGGTGCTGAATGGAGTAATCTTGCTAATCGGCTTTTTAAAGCAAACCGGCGACTCGGTATTTGATATGTGATGATCCCTGGGCACTCATTGCTTTGCCTTTGCTTCGCAACGATTGGAGGTGTAGCTAGAATAACAGAACTGCCCAAGACTAGGTCTATATAATGTTTGCTTAGTTGAAAGAATAAACAAGGATTTCCTAGAATCATTCGTTAACAGGGAAATTCCATTAAACTCGAAAACCACCAGAGGACACCGAAGTGCCCTCGTTCCCAAGACAAATGCCAATGTCATACCAAACGCCTATCGTCACATAAAGAAAAAGAAGAGAAAACAAGGTAAGACTGATCGTACAATCAAAGACCACTGTATGCCAAAGACATTCCATGGCCAATTCTTCATCAACATTGGCGCAAATTCACAAACATCGGTGGAAATAAAACACATAGGTAGAGAAGGAAAAAAAAGGCATTAGTCTAAAAAACCTCTTGTTTTAAGACTCTTCTTCCTCGTCGACCACTGCGGCACGGAGTTCCCAAACCAAATCGTAGCATTCGGCTAGCAGGTTATTGACACTGCCCTGGCCCTCCGGGATATCTGGACCCACGTAGAATTTCCCATCAACTCGCATGTTGTCAATCGAGTTGAGCTGTTTCGGTCAGCTTTGGTACGCAAGCAGTGTGGACAGTTACATACCTTCATGCTGTATGGGTAAAGTTCGCGCGAATTTGCAACGCCCCCAGACTCCTTGACTTCTATCAAGCACCGGCGGAGAGTTTGGAGTTGGTTATAGACTGGGAGCAGAGCTTCAGATACAGGTTCTGATGAAATCAAAAGCGCATAGATGTATGCATAACTGCGACGAATAAGGTATAAGAGCGTCTGATCATATGTTAGCCAGATCCACCACAGAATTGCCGAAAGGGAATTCTTACTCGCTGCGCATGCAGGTCTGCTGGCTGACCCTCAGCATCGACGAAATTTCCATTGACCCGTGCCTCATCAATTCGGTCGAGCTTTCGCTGGTATACGAAGAGATCAGTCTCGCGCAGCGACCAAGCTTGTGTTACAGACAAACGATCCAGTTGGTTGCGGATTTCCAACAATCGTTCATATTGATCTCGGAACCGCTCCTCAATTTTGCCCTCTCTGTATTTGGATCAGTTATGCCCGATCATTCCGTTGGCAGCCTAGAACATACCGCTCGAGCACAATTTCAGTCCACCGCCAACACCTATGAAGCAAAGACTTGACGTCGTCTTGCCCTGCAAGAACATTTCCCTGGTCATCCACAAAGTTGCCGTCCTTTTGTGTCTTTTCAATTTTCTTCAGTTGTTCTCGAAGGGCGTTTACTTCCGAAGCCGAAAACTAACAGATCAACCATCAGTTAGTACTAATCAGATAGATTATACAATCATCCGAGGCTATACCTTTGACCGAGTGTTCACAGCTGATGTCGACCGCAAAATTGAAACTAATGTCTCGTGTGTCTGCGCCAAGGGAGGAGCCAATACGGCAAGACCCTTCTGTAACTTCGCCAATGACTTTTCACATTGTTCCAGACGGCTTTCCAAGAGTGTGAGAAGAGCCGGTGAGTACGTGTTTCGGCCACGCTCAAGAGTTTCCCGTGTACACTCTAGTGTCTTGGTGATCGAGTTCAAATCCTTCGAACTATAGAATCCAGCCTCTCCGAGGTGGTCGAGTAAGCGCTGCAAGATCGTCAGTGTCCAGAGCGCAAAGCTAACAGGGAGAGCTGAAAGAGATCCTAGGAGTAAATACCTGGATAGTAGTTGCCAAGGAGTATCTGGCAAATGTCAGTCACGGTCATAAGATGGCGGGGTAAAGACATTGTCACTCACACTGCGGGGGCTTCGTTGTTCTTCCCAACTGTCAAAAACAGCAGGGAAATCAACTGGAAACAGTCATCCAAGATATAATCCACTATCATTGAGCGTCAGTCAGCTCCAAATCGAGCGCGCGGTCTACTGAACTCACGGCGATTATGTACCAAGCGGCGATCTTGCTCTTTACGAAGCAAATTGAGCTTCTCAACTTCTGCGATCACTTCCTCGTAAAGTGGTAGGACATCACGGGACTTTACATATGAGGACTTGTCTCTTTTGATTAGGAGCAGCGCGTCGCGGGTTCGCAGCAGGTTTTCAAGGATGGGCTGCTCCCGCGGATCCAGCGGGACCGTGATGGCGGGGGACTCCATGGTTAGTGAATGCGATAAGTAGGCAAGTTGGCAAAGGCAAGGTTGAAAACAGGTTGGATAAAAGGAATAAGTTTCTTTGAAAATGAAGACAAGTACAACTGATCGTACGTTTGAACCCCACCGGGATGTGATGTCAATTAATGAATGGATCGATTGATACTGGGAGATCCTGCAGATACGACCAGATCGCACGGGCCCCGCGGCAGTCCACGGGTTTACTGGGGGATAATGTCATCTAGTTCATTATGTCATCTGGGTCTAGCTCCGTTTGTGGATTAGCGCCAAGTCACGAGGAGGGGAGGAGCCTAAACCCGATTAGTCCAAGCCCTAAGCGAGGGCTTTTTCCCACACACGGCGCGTTTGCCCTGTTCGGGTGTCTATCATTGGCGTTCTCCTCTCTTCTTCTTTCCCATCCCCAACTCTCTTCAAGACACCCAGTCCGGTCAACACCACCCGTCGACATGTCTACCGCCGAGCTCGCCTGCTCTTACGCCGCCCTCATCCTGGCCGATGACGGTATTGAGGTCTCCGTACGTATCCAAAATTCCTTGATTTTGGTGGGATAGTGGAGGCTTGAAGATCGCACTTGAAGCTTTATTTACTGTGTGAAATCGAGCTTCGGGTGAAACACAACAAGCTGCTGCAAAACCACTGGATCAAACGATCATGCGAAGACTGTGACTGACCTTTAATCTTCATTTAGGCCGACAAGATCCAGACCCTCATCACTGCCGCCAACGTCCCGGAGGTTGAGCCCATCTGGGCTTCCATTTTCGCCCGGGTAAATACCTGATCCCATTCCACAACCCGCACCAATATCGAACAACCCGAACATGGCCGCGCGCGACAATTTTGAGATTCGATAACTAATTCGATTTTCAACACAGGCCCTCGAGGGTAAGGACATCAAGGATCTCCTGACCAACGTCGGTTCCGCTGGCCCCGCTTCCGCTGCCCCCGCTGGTGGTGCCGCTGCTGCTGCCCCCGCTGAGGCCAAGGCTGAGGAGAAGGAGGAGGGTAAGTTTTGAGATACACCTCTGGTTTGTGATTCACGGTACTAATCCCCACTACAGAGAAGGAGGAGTCCGATGAGGACATGGGCTTCGGTCTCTTCGACTAAGCGTCTTATCTCCGTATCGAATTTGAAAACTCGTTTCCTTTTTTTCTCTATTCCTCAACCTCTTTTCCCACTGCCGCATAGCGGCTCCCTCGACGATTCTTTATTGTACTCGATACTCCACGACCCCCGCTACGACCTAGAACCCGGGGAAGAAAAAAAGAAAATTAGCAAAAGAATTCAAACGGACACGGACATTCAATGGAGACTGGGTGCTCGGTGTGCCTCCGCGTCATAATGTGGCCGAGGTAGACTCGATCGGATACCGCTGCGATTCCGAAACTATTGTTGCTTCCAGGATTTTAGGGGAATTGAAGAAAGACGTTTGGCACACTTGTTGGTTTGTCCATGATCAAAGTTTTACTTTGGTCTGGCGAGTAGATGTATGATTCGTTTTCTCGCCCTTCACATGGATCAGCTAGCTTAGTTTGCTCGGTCCTCGTGTTACGTCTGTCATGCGACCACGAACCAACAACGAATGCCGTCTGATTCTTATATGGGGTACTTGTATGGGGTACTTGTTCGTAGGCCATGTGACGTAGTGCTGTAGGGCTCATCGTCGGTGTTGGATCTCTCTCACATTGATGTTTTTGATATCAAGGTGATCTTTCATTGGCGCACCAGGCCCTTGTGGTTATCGCTCAGCAGACTGGAGCCCTCGTCGACGGTATAAGGTACAACATGCATAGACTTTGGGACAATATCACCTTGGACTTAGGATTGCATCAATATTATCAGTGAGTTGATGTGCACTACTACATATTAATATAGTTAGTTATGTATGTAGTCATTCTAGTGTTGCGCAACCGCGAGCAACACAACCCTACTATGTACATCGACACTAACAATCATACATGTAGAGCGGATTCAGTCACCAGTTCACTGTCAAAACAAACGCTATGCTATTCCAAACTTTTCCGATGTCCAGCATCACTAATAAACGCGTGCAAATCATCTCTCATCCATAGATTCTTGAGCTTGAAACCGAAGTTGACATTCGACGGTATATAGACAGAGGTCATAGCTCGAGATAAAAGAGCAAATGTCAATATTTAGGAGATCGCCGAGAGGCGAGGGTCCTGAACAGCGTAGATCCGGAATTGGAAGAAGATGACCGCATCCTCAACCATAGTCCCCAGTGATCCAATCAACCATGGCAGATTGGTGAGGAAATATTCTTTCTCGGTAGAATGGCAAAGAATCTATATCCATGCCGTTAGCTTGCGTCCAGTTCATAAGCTTGCAGTATCACTCACCCCTGCACCGTAAGTCAGGTTTCCTAGAAGAGAGAGAATAAAGAACAAGAGCGACAATCCTGGATAAAATGTCAACACCGGCCTCACATGTGCATCGGAAGACAGTAAAAAATACCTTCGCACGACTTCTCGCTGTAGTTTTTGTATATCTGAGGCAATCTCGCTCTGCAATCAAAGTCAATACCAACTCATCGGCCCTAACGAAAGGAGGTACTCACCCCAGATAGCACACAGCACTGAAATACCCCAGCACCAACCCCCCAATAGCCTGCTCAGAACCATTGTTATTCTCCATCGGCGCCGGCTCCCACATCCCCGTCTGCCAAGCCATGGTCCAGCCCGCCATACCAACAAAGAAAATCCCAGCAACACTAGCAAAATTCTTAACCCATGCCTTACGGCCATAATCATTCTCCTCGACGATCTTGGCTAGGGTATCCTCAATCTCGCTCTCGCGCCGGCCACCAGCATGATGATAACGGCGCAGCGAGCCCGACGACCGGCGCCGCGACTCGGAAGACGCGAGGGAGTCGCTGAATCGCCGCCCCAGCAATGGGGTAGTCGGGTCTGGGGTCTCCGTGGACGAGCGCCGGCGGTGGAAAGGCTCGGGGCGCGAGTTGCGCACTTTATAGTACACACACTGCGCGATCAGCACGCCGTCTGCGATGCAGAAGTATACCGCGATCGCAACGATCACGGGAACGAGCCCGGCTAGTAGGCCGCCGGCGAGGTTTGCGACATCGCCGATGAACCAGACGAAGAGGAAGAGAAGAGAAATGGCTTCTGAGTTGCCGTTGCGGTAGTTCTCAATTAGTTGAGGTACCTATAACAATATTGTTAGATATGGATGCCCACTTTGGGGTTTCAAGATGCGAGTCTGTTCTGTCGAGCTTGTTGAACATACCAAAAGGAAAAACCAGCAGGTCATAGAGACCGACCCCAAGAGACCAGATGCAGCCTCACGGGCTGTTAAAGGTATATGGCCTTGTTCCATGCTTTCCATGCTCTGCAACAAATGTGTGTTGGAGTGAAAGAAAATTGCGCGGGAGATAAGGCTATGACACAATCTACTCGGGGCTGGGCAGAGTCCCGCTATGTCCAGACTTTGAGGGTCCAAGCACATATAGAAAATCTCTTTAAATACGCTCATATACTAATTACATAGTTATATAACTACATATGTAAGTATGTGTATATTAGAATATATAGACAATTTCTTAAGCCAGATGCATGTTAATCGACTGAACCTATCAATGCGGGATGAGGCGCATCAGCCAAGCATTGGAGGATTTCCACAGCCAATGATACACTTCATTATAGTCATGCAAGTCTAAACTGCAATATGTGTTACATATGTATGTACTTCGTACTACCTACTGTGATCAGTATGGATTCGCAATCTGTAGTCTGCATCAGTTATTGCCCCTATAGGATATGAATTCCCCGAATTCCCAAAAGGGGTGGAAAATATATACTTGAGTTGTGCTGATATAAAACTTTCCCAACATGATGATTTATACATGGATTGACCACCCAGAAAATTTGAAAAATAAATAGTTGGACAATTTAATAATTATCTTTCTAGCTATGAGATACATATGTTGACTCTGCCAGGATGATACCCATCTCCTCTAGGTGGGCTTTTTAATCAAGTGGAATTCCCAAGATAAACCATGGCCATGCTATAAATGTTGCTAAAATTCCAAAATTGTTGTACATAGAATCATTATTTTCTATCGTACTCAGACTAATACAGAGTCCATGTTCATCATGAAGCTGAATTATTCTCCTCGCAAAATCGCGAGTTCGTCCTCGAGCATGCTGACCGCAAAATCCCCAAGAGAGTCCTTGATAGTGCCGTCTAACAATCGTTGGCGGGCTGTTTCTGGGATGGCCGCCATGGCCTCCAGATAATTGGTCAAAGGTGCATAGTCCACAACTACTTCGCTCCAGTTGCCTCTATCGACTCCGTATTGAGAAAGGAAAATACGAAGAGTTTGCAACCCCTCGCGCGTGAGCCACCCTTCAAGGGCCGCCGGATCTCTGAGTGGTGGGCGTGAGTGTGGGATATCGAAATGCTCTGTATTCTCGTCCTCATCATCAAAACCAATTGGCTCTTCGTCGTCCGATGGGACATTGGGAGGGCGGGCGTCGTGGTTGATCTGACCGAGGAGATCCTGCAGCCAATTTTCGCCACCTCCAGCAGGAGCTGCATATATGGGTGTAGGTTCGGATTGTTGCTTGTAGGCTTCGGATTCATAAGGGGGAAGAGGGTCGGAGGAGGACAGTCGACCAGCCACAAAGTGGTTTGGAAGATGGGTTGTCACTTTAGCTATATCGGACAAGACCACATGACGAGCGATGTCCAAAGTGATCTCTGGTGGATTATTAGGCTCCTCGCCAGAAATAGAATCTGCGACTTCCATAATGAGAGAAATAGCCTCGGGGGTATTCCAAAGATCCTTTGCGCGGGCGATATAGAGTTCGGTAAGCAGCTCATGAGCGCCTGTAGGAGGCATCTTGCCCCAGATTTGCTTGGGAACGTGCTGCACATCAAGTTCCTGTGCTAGCCTGCTGAATATCCATGGGTAGCGGGACATGGCGAGCTGCAGCTGTCGGCGACATTCTTGGGGCTTGTTCAACCGGAGGTATGCCATTACCAGCGAGCATTGAATGTTCGGGAGGTTGGCCCAGTCACGACTTAAACGTGTCTGGGTGCAGAGCTGCACGAATTGTGCGTATTCTCTACCTCGGAGCGCGAGGTGGTCGATGAGTAGTCTCATGCAGTAAGGATCGCTGCCATCCAGACTGAGTAAGAGCTTGGCCCATTCATAAGCCGTTCTCCATGTGCCCTTCATGGCTAGATTTGTGATGTACCTCCACCCAACAAGCCAGAGCTCTCGGTTCTCTGCATGTATGAAATCAAGTCTGGCCTCGCCTTCTTTGAGGCGATTGGCAAACGAAGAGTGTACTGAGCGTCCGATATTGAATAGAGCTCTTTCCATCAGATCGGCAGACACAGCATGGTCGCCTTGGTGTTTGGCAATCTCCGACACTTGGAGAAGCGTAGAAATATGGTACGGGTTGTATTGGAGGTGTCCGATGAGTCTCTGTGGGTCCATCGATTCAACACAGAGGTCGAACTGCCGTTGTACATCTTGGTAGGCGGTATTGTGCACTAGTCGGTAGAGAGTCTCCCCGGAAGGAAGCTTTTCCACAGTCTCCATACCTAGCCCTCCACTTGGAGCACGAGGCCACTCATCTTTGCCCTGCATAAGAACATTGCGTCGCAATGTAACTCCAGCCAGACTTTGACCTCGGCTAGCTGGACTATATCTTCCCGTCAAGGCTTGAGCAAGGTCGATCATTTGTCGATTGCGATCCCGACGGCGCCCCGTTCCATTATCTGCTGGTTGATCAAAGTTTTCCAGAACAACATTTCCAAACAATCTGCGCATCTCATTCGTTGCATTGAGAAATTTGGGTTCGATTCCGAGCAATTCGCTCGTAGTTTTCGGGAAAGAGGCCTCGGGAGTGTGTCTGATAGATAGACCGGTGCCAACTGACGAGTGCCCATCTGTCGATAACTCTTTCAACGCTCGATCAATTTCATCCAGGTCTGCTTCATTTGATTTTGAAGGCGGGGTATTGGCAGGATCGGAGGTTTTGGCTGCCTTCTTCTTTTTTTTCTTGTTGCTCTTTTTGGGCTTTATCGGGGTTGGCTCAGGCTCTGGTGTGTGTGCGCGAGGTTCCTCCTCAATTTCGTCTTCGTCTTCGTCTTCCTCATCCTCATTTTCAGCGTTCAGCAAGTCAAAGGCATTGAACTTCGGTTTCGCGGGGCGCGGGGCTTCGTCTTCGCTTGACTCATCTTGCTGGTCGGATTCTCGCTGCTGTTCTTGTTCACGCAGTTTCTGCAGTTTTCGGATTGCTCGTGATGACATCCTAATTACTGAGGCAAAAGCCTTTAAACGTATGAAATAAAAGCTGCCTGCGAAAGCGGAAACAAAAGAAAAACGCGCCGAAATAAAACCGCGGGGAATGACGACAGAGACTAATATGGACTAGCGCACCTTTGATAGCATTTGCACGTGACTTCCATGTTGAGGAGATCCAGCTCCTTGACAAGCTTGAAACCTCATCTTCATACAATCTCAGAGCTGTTATCTGCCTTGCAAAAGGCACGGAAGTTTATCAGCTGTTATATTTATTGCTGGACTAATGCGTCGGGCGACTGTTCAGGCCTGCCGTACTGCTCGGCGTGCACCAGTATGGAACATTGCCGCTAAACGGCCGTGCCCTTTGACCTTCAACCAGCTGCGAGGTATTCGGCCATATTCTGGCGGCAGACGCTCATCCCACACTCCAGTAGCTCCCCAATCATCTATGCATCGCCGCAACCTCTCCCTCGCCGTTATCTCGACCGTCGTTGCCTCCGGGGCATGGTATACTTATCAGGGTGACTCCGTTAAATCGGCAGCAACCCAGATCCGGGGTTTCGCATCGACTGCCCTCAACTCCGCCTACGCAGAAGGACCCGCCGAGTCCACGCGACGTGCATTGCTGGTCAGCGGCGATCAATTCTACACCGCAACGCTCTCCGGAGACCAGCCTCTTGCCAAGCATACAGACGATTCGGATCGCCAAGTCCTAGAGATGTTGACTCCCGAGCAAGCGACCCAGAAGCTTCGCAAGAACGAGGAGTCATATTTGGTCAATCGGGGCAAGGGTGTTGTTCGTTACGATGTTGTTCAGGTTCCCAGCAACTCCCCCATCGAGGACGATCATGCGGAGAAGATAGTGGAGATCCCAGCATCCGTGGCTACTGTCAGCAATGGCGAACCGAGCAGTGACTGGATGTTCTGGGGTGTTTTTGACGGTCACTCGTATGTTATGTCAAGGTTGAATACTTATAATGCAAAGACTAACTATAAACCAGGGGCTGGACCACATCTGCGAAATTGCGCAATGTTTTGATCTCATATGTGGCCCGTGAATTGAACACAACTTACAAGACTGCTTCTGCCGATCCCTCTCTCCTCGTGCCGACATCCGAGGCTATCGATGCCGCCATTAAGAAGGGCTTCGTCCGCCTTGACAATGACATCGTACATGAGAGTTTCAAGGAAGTCATGAAGTCTAAATCACGACGGGTCGCCGCTGAGCTCCTTGCTCCTGCTCTCTCAGGATCATGTGCTCTTCTTAGCTTCTATGACTCCCAGTCCAAGGACCTCAAGGTTGCTGTTACCGGAGACTCTCGCGCTGTTCTGGGCCGTCGCGGCCCTAGCGGGAAATGGACTGCTACTGCTCTTTCCGAGGACCAGACTGGTGGCACCCCATCTGAAATGAAACGCTTGCGTGAGGAGCACCCCGGTGAGCCATATGTCACCAAGAATGGCCGAATTCTCGGCCAGCTTGAACCCAGCCGTGCGTTCGGTGACGCTTTCTACAAGTGGAGCCGGGACGTCCAAGATACGATAAAAGCGAAGTTCTTTGGGCGCACTCCTCATCCTATGCTGAAGACGCCCCCCTATGTCACCGCCGAGCCTATCATTACTACCACCAAGATCGATCCCTCCAAGGGCGATTTTGTCGTCATGGCTACCGATGGTCTGTGGGAGATGCTGAGCAATGAAGAAGTTGTCGGCCTGGTTGGTCATTGGGTTGAGCAACAACAATCTGCTGCTGCAAGCACGGGTAGCAAGGCTTGGTTACAGAGCTGGTTCGGGTTCGATAGTCAGAAGAAACTGCCCGTGGAAACTGCAACCGACGGATCGACTGAAGGCCAACGACGTCCCATCCGCCAGCAGCAATATGATATCTCTGGTGCGGCTACTCGATTTGTTGTTGAGGACAAGAACGCAGCAACGCATCTTGTGCGGAACGCGATGGGCGGAAAGGACAAGGATATGGTGTGTGCGTTGTTGACGCTACCCAGTCCTTACTCTCGTCGATACCGGTAAGGATATCCTTTTCATGCCACTTACTTTTTTTTTAGCGGTTTGGCTAATCTTTCTTAGTGACGATGTTACTGTTGAGGTCATCTTCTTTGGCCAAGGCCCTGATTCGCGCACCGTGGAAGTCAACCAGGAAGCGAGTGCGTCAGACCAGCCTCCCAAGTCGAAGCTTTAAGTGTTCGTTTTGTCTTATGTTCTATTCGTGACATTCCCCAAGCATTTTGAAGGGTGGCAGGCTTTTTTTTTTGATACGTTGTGCAATCTACTAGGGAATAGTTTCTCTAATCTTACGAATTATTTGCAATTCCCTGGTTACAAATAGAAAAGTCGTCTGTACGTTTCATGCTTTTTATTGCCTTCATACTACAGTGTACATACTAGTAGAGTGACAAGCCAGGCAAGTTTACTATCATTCCCATTTCTAGCTGTACTTCTATAGCCATTGATTATTATTTTTCTACCTTGTTGTATAACGTCGTGAATAAAAATATATAAGAAAAGAAACATCGGATTGTTACCTTACATATAACGTCCATAATATCATCTTGAGCCACCTAGATTATCAAAGTCCTACGTCGTTAACGATAGAGGCCACATACGCAGCTGACTATCTTTTGTGAGAAGTAAAAAAAATATTGTACATAAATGCGGGTGAGTAAGGAAAATAATGCTACACAATGAACCTCGAAACCAGTCGAGGAACTATATGCATCCTAAATTGTCATTTCGCAGGGGGGTTGGACCAAATTATGAACGTGGACGCACAACCCTAGAGGGTATCCTGTGACGATTGATCCTATCCGAGCCGGCTCATAAGATCTGTACCAGTCGCCCAGGGGCCATGGGCTGAATCAGGCCTGACATGAGCTTGCTGTCAAATTGGGGTGTGAATGTGGCCTCCATCTTGATGAAGCTCTGAAATTCATTTAGAGCCAGCGCGTGGATAGTTCGCAACTCTATAATGGAGTATGGCTGAACAAACCACCATCGATTCATTGCATGGGAAAGAACCCATGTCATTCCAATTGATACGATTCCCGCAGATGGAATCAGCGCAAGTTTTTCAACTGGAAAGGGTCATTATCGCCCGGCTTCTCGAAAGCGATGGATTTCTCGATGAATCGGTTGTACACCACGGGTGAAAACACCTTATTGTCCAGTACCCAAGTCTGCAGCGTAGCAACGTTGGTACTGGTGATCCAGTAGAGCATAAGTGCAGTTGGCATCTCTTGAACAAAGCTTGCAAAGCCGATATAGCATGTCAAAACTATGACAAAGGCCCGCAAACCGCTGAAAAAGATCTGTTTGTACATCTCGTTCTTTGGAAGGAGCGGGATGTGCCTCCAAGGCTGGACTTTCCATCCCATCAGAACGTTCCCCAATATCGACGCAGTCAGACAAAATGGCAGCACGCCTGTCGGGTCACCTGCCAGCAAATCCGGGAACCAGAGGGCACCCTCGTTCGCAAGAGTGGGCTCGATGGTTAAATGCAGGGATTGAGCTGCGGAGGCAGGGTCTGGCGATGACTCGATGAACGACGACAGCCAGGCAATGATGCCGTTATTGTTGCCGCTCATCCCGCGCAGACTCTCCATGAGCGCAATGAAAACAGGTATCTGTAGAAAGCTGATTGCTTTGTGCTTGCCGGATACTCCCCAACGCTTTTGAAGCTGAACTGTTCGTTTTCTTATATCAAGTACTTTTATTTCAGCAGTTGATAAATTCTTGAATCTCTCCAAGTTCGCGCCGTTGCGCTCAGCCGTCTGTTTCTTTGCATATCTTTTCGTCCAAGCGCTTATAATTGGCATTATTTTCTTTTCGCGGTGACGATGGAGTCGAGTGTATAACAGGATAGGCAACCCGACAAATGTACGAACAAGTACGGCCGTTAGAGGAATTGAGGCAACCCATGGTAGACATGAAACAGTGTGGACGCCGTGAATAAATGCGGTAGAGCCGTCTAGTGCAAGGTCGACGATGGAGGATGAGGCTGGTCTTGTTTGGTGGAAGTGTCTAACTTGCGAGCGAGGCAATTGTATGGCTCGCCGCGTTAAGTGCAGAGCCTGTGATGAGCGGAGAGCATACATCACTGCTGATGCGGCGACAGACAAGATAAAAATAAAAGATGGCTAGAAAAAGTGAGGCTATAGGAATCGCGGAACGGAAATCGGATATTTGGAGATCATCATGTGACACGTACGGAGTTACTTCATTGGCTCGACTGATCAACTTGTTGACAGCAAGAGAGGGGGAGCATTTTCTGACTTGTTCTCTAGTTTGACTTCAAATTCCATTACTATGTGTGGTTTCTGATGAGGTCTCTCTAAATATTGCCTTTTCACCATGGCCCTCTTATCAAACGCCATTCTGGCCATTCTGGCCCTCACCGCCACGGCTGTCCTCCTTCCGAAGCTAACAGGCGTCCTCCTCGGTCTAGTGTTTCGGGGAGTGGGCTGGCTGATATGGCGACGAACGCGGTCTCGCCGTGAATATGTGATCGCGCGGGCGCGATCTGAAGAGGAAGAGTTACGCGCCTCACGGCCGAAGGGTTCAACAACTTCACTATCGCGGAACGGTGCCGAAGATGAGGACTGGGAGAAGGTGGATAGCTCAGGCCCAGGCGGGGTACAGACTACAACTGGCAGTGAAAGCAGTGGCGGTACTGGTGAGGAAAGCAACCAGAGTCCAGAGGACTGGGATGGCATTATTGGGTTCTTCCACCCATTCTGGTATGGCATTCTCTATACATATCGAAACACACAACGCTAATTTATGGGCTGCAGCAATGCCGGCGGAGGTGGCGAACGAGTCTTATGGGAAGCCATACGTGCAACACAGAAGCGCTGGCCGAAGGCAATCTGCGCTATCTACACGGGTGACCATGAAGTCAATAAAGCCACGATGCTGGAGAAGGTGGAGAATCGGTTCAACATTCACCTACATGCGCCGACCGTGGTGCTCCTATACTTGACAACCCGCAAGTATGTTGTTAGTAGCTCATATCCTTACATGACGCTGCTGGGACAGTCGCTGGGGTCACTGGTTGTTGCCTACGATGCTTTTACGCTGCTTGTACCAGATGTTTTTGTTGACACCATGGGCTATGCCTTCACACTCGCTCTGTGCAAATGGCTTTTCCCAACAGTGCCTGTTGGCGCTTACGTTCATTACCCGACCATATCAACCGACATGCTTGCCTCTCTTGATGACAAGAGCGGGGTGCAAGGGATCAATTCCGGCGCAGGAAAAGGGTGGAAAGGGAAAATCAAGCGTCGTTACTGGGAGATATTTGCCAAGCTGTATGGCTGGGTTGGGCGACAGATCGATGTAGTTATGTGTAACTCGTCCTGGACGGCAGCACACATTCGCACGCTCTGGGGCACCGGCAAGAAAAGCAGCAACACCAGTGGCGACGGAACTGCGTCATCGCCGGCGGTGGTGTTCCCCCCAACAGCAGTCACCGAACTACAATCAAATATTGCCGTTGACGTGGAGAGTGAGAAGACTCGCCAGCCCGTTCTACTTTACATCGCCCAATTCCGGCCAGAGAAGAATCACCCACTAGTATTGCGCTCATTTGCACGATTCTTACAAGAACGAACAAACAACCCAGCCTACGAAGGTCAACTCCCTCCACGCCTTGTGCTCATTGGATCCGTGCGCCATTCCAGCCCTGATGAAACCCACATCTACAACCTGCGCCTCCTGGCGCATGAACTCCGCATCCGCGACCATACCACCTTCTTGTGCGACGCCAGCTGGCCTGTCATGCTGTCACATCTCCGTACTGCCTCGGTAGGCGTCAATGCCATGTGGAACGAGCACTTCGGTATTTGTGTCGTGGAGTACCAAGCCGCTGGTCTCATCTGCGTGACACACGACTCGGGCGGTCCACGTGAAGACATTGTCGTCGATTTGGGGGACGGTGCAACTGGATTCCGAGCTGAAACAGAAGAGCAGTTTGCTGCTTCTTTCGAGGCTGCCCTTGCTCTTCCGGAGGTAGAGAAACTCGCCATGCGGCAGCGGGCTCGTCGCTCAGCTCAACGGTTTACCGAAGAGGAGTTCTCCCGCAAGTGGCTGGATCAAGTACAAAAGCTTGTTAAAGCGTCGAATGTTTAGCTTTGTGATATCCCCATTGGAAATAGATGAATGGCATTTCCATTTAGTTTAGTAGTTCGCTAAAACAAGAAGTCAATTCTATAATAGCAAACCTTAAAAGACTGTACTTAATTCGTAATAATCGTAAAATAGAAATAGAAGATGTGGCCAAGTCTAAGACTCGTGCATAAAAACAGACATCTCAACTAAAGCACCTCAAGTCTTCTAACCAGAAACAGAAAATGCCGGCAATGCAACGGATGACAATGCGAACACACTGGAATTTCCCCCTTTAATCGCTATCACTTGCCTCTCCGCTGTCCGAGTCAGCTCCATTGCCGGTATTTTGAATACCTTCAGCCATGATATACTCGGTTTGCTGAAGGGTCTTCTTAATCTCATTATTGTTGAAGACCAGCTCAGCAGGCTTCTGACCATGCTTATTCCGCACTCGAGGATCGCAGCCAGCCTCACACATCATCTTGATCATGGCCTCGCCGAGTTCTGCATCTTTATCGTTGGCGTACCGCACTGCGATGTGCAATGGCGTGTCCTTGTCCAGCCGGGTCAACGGGTCGCATTCGAAGAATTGGATGTCAAACAGTGCATCCATGGTATCATCTAACCAAAAAAAAAGAAAGAGTTAGCTTCCATGAGATATGGGCATAACGATGTGGCAAAGTAAACACGTACAGCTGCCGTACTGGGCACAGATGTGCAATGCGTGATTTCCCATAGCGTCTGTCACCTCATTGAAGAATTGTGCCACTTGCTCATTTGTCTTCTCTTCCATATCATTCAGCACTTGCTCAATTAGGTGGGGTTGGTCCCGGCGGCAGGCTTCCACGACCAGCTCGCGGGGTGATGCGCCCTAAATCATAGCGACATTAGTGTTGATATTAGTAAGAGTCTGGTAAGCAGTATTCACCTCGTCAGTCATTTCTGTTTATGGGTTCACAGAGTCCGGAATACCCGAGAGTAAAGTCGGTAGTACAGGAATTGGTGCTCAGCTGTAATGGGACGCGTGGAGTTGTAACAAGAGTCAGGCGTTTTGTATGGGTATTTTGCTGATCGGAATGGGTCTTTCACAAGGAAACGAAGTGGGATATGTATGTACAAGCTGGACTGCCGGTTAAACAGGCATCAAGTTCCTGCGAAATACTACAGGTTATCGGAGTTGTTCCCCAGGGACATCCCACACGCGGGCCGCCCGGATATATAATCCTCCGTATCCCGTTTGGATTTAGCCGCGCGCCTAGATCTCTTATCAACGACGGCGATGTTCTGCACCTAACGGGGACTACATTGTATAGCTGCTGAGAACCTGACTCTCTCCTATTCTAGCTGCCTGACGCTTTCTTAGCTTTACCCACTGCATCCTCCCGCCAGATCATCAAGATGCTCGTCTGTATGTGCTGTCTCCAAGTTGACGCTGTCCAGCGAGAGTCCAGAACAGAAACTGACTCCTCTCCCTAGTCTGCCCCAATTGCAGCAATGCGCTCACCATTTCCAAAGCCGACTCGAGCACAAGATTTCCCGCGGGCGTGAACCGCTTTGAATGCCGCGTCTGCCCCTACGAAGCCCCACTGGACAAGAACTATTTCGAGAAGAAAGATATGAAACAAAAGGAAGTGGACGATGTCTTTGGTGGCAAGGAGGAGTTTGCCAATGCTGACAGTGTTGGAAGTAAGTTCTTTCTGCTATCTTCTCTCAGTCTCAGAAGTGACATGTCCTTCGAGATATACAGGGCTGACATACTCTCTCTTTTTCCCTTACAGCTCAATGCCCCGCCGAAAGCTGCAATGGGGAACGTGCGTACTTCTTCCAGCTGCAGATTCGCAGTGCAGATGAACCGATGACTACATTCTTGAAGGTATGTCTCCCTCCTTACGTCTAACGTACTTGAGGTACCCGTGTCTGACAGCTCCCAGTGTACCTCGTGTGGTGCTCGGTGGAGAGAAAATTAGAGTTGGGGAACAAGTCACTTGCATTGCTTTTTGCTTTCTTTTTTGAGTTTTATTACAGCGAGGTGCAAATGGCGCATTTACCAAGTGATTTTAAGGGTGGCGTGTGTAACCCAAAGCTATCAAGTTGATATAACGATACCCAAATTGATCGACGTCACAGTCCAGCGCACAGATTATTTTGAGATCTGCGGGAACTTTTCGGGTGGGACATGGATCTAGCTTTTTTATGCATTTTTATTTTATATCGTATTCCAAGGTTTATTGTGGCTTTGGCTTTTGTGCTTTTTGAGCCCTGGCCATAGCAGTGGCCAGAAGAGTAGATACAATTGGCCTAGTACGGATGTAGAGCCCGACATTGGTTTCTGCCTGGGATATACTAAAGAAGAATCTGATGATCGGAGGCCAAATAGCAAAAAAAGAAAATTTTCTATGCATGACATTGTTGGTGGGATGAGTTGGCGGTGAGAGTTGTTGCCCCTCACCCGCGGGGTTCTTAAAAGACAAAGACGAAAAAAAAGTGAAAAAATGGATCGAGACATCCAATATCGCCACGGTAATTCGTAGGCCAAAATAAAGCGGGAAATGGGCAAAGTAAACAATGCAAACTAAGAAGTTTCTCACCCAACCCCTCTGCGTTGCTGCCCAGTTCAAGCGTTTAGAGCCACAGAGTGGGCTGGGAAGGAGCCGATGAAAAAAAAAATTCGCACCGAGTGGAGTGCCATGGCAGGACAAAACCAGGGAAACGGAGGGGTGTTTCAAGCGCGGAAGTAGACAGTACATCATAAAGTATGGTTAAAGACATGCTGTAGCAAGTACATCTACATCAGCCCACCAACCCACTTTGCAAAATCTGCGTACACGGGTAAGGTCCAGAGCCAATCAGAAGCCATAACCAAAGAGGGCTTGGCCCCACCTGCTGACTCGCCTCGCTCGCTTGCCCCTCCATATAAGGATTTCCCCTCCTCCCCTCTCCCACAGACTTTTCTTTCTTCCTCTTGTCTGCTACAGTGAGTATTTCCTACCCCCTACTGCTTTTCAGCTCTCCCTCTTCCAACTACTCTTTCTGATTACTTTTGCTCAGTACCTCTACGCGTTCTGCCGTAGTCTCTGAGCAATTTTTTCTACAGATTTTTTCTAGTATCTTACAAAGAACTACAAAAAGTTCCAACCGTCATCATGGGGTACGTGGCCGTCCCTCAACTTTTGAGGAGAACTGAGACTGACTTGACCCAACAGTAAGGAAGAGCGCAACCACATCAACATCGTCGTTATCGGCCATGTCGATTCCGGCAAGTCCACCACCACTGGTCACATGATCTACAAGTGTGGTGGTATTGACCAGCGTACCATCGAGAAGTTCGAGAAGGAGGCTGCTGAGCTCGGAAAGGGTTCCTTCAAGTACGCTTGGGTTCTTGACAAACTCAAGGCCGAGCGTGAGCGTGGTATCACCATCGATATCGCTCTCTGGAAGTTCCAGACCGCCAAGTATGAGGTCACCGTCATCGGTAAGAGACTTTCCCATTCATTCTATCAGTTGCACACATGCTAATATATTTCATTACAGATGCCCCCGGTCACCGTGATTTCATCAAGAACATGATCACTGGTACCTCCCAGGCCGATTGCGCTATTCTCATCATCGCCTCCGGCACTGGTGAGTTCGAGGCTGGTATCTCCAAGGATGGCCAGACCCGTGAGCACGCCCTGCTTGCTTTCACCCTCGGTGTTAAGCAGCTCATCGTTGCCCTCAACAAGATGGACACCTGCAAGTGGTCCGAGGCCCGTTACAACGAGATTGTCAAGGAGACCTCCAACTTCATCAAGAAGGTCGGCTACAACCCCAAGTCCGTTCCCTTCGTCCCCATCTCCGGCTTCAACGGCGACAACATGCTCGAGCCCTCCCCCAACTGCCCCTGGTACAAGGGTTGGGAGAAGGAGACCAAGGCTGGCAAGACCAGCGGAAAGACCCTTCTCGAGGCCATCGATGCCATTGAGAACCCCGTCCGTCCCTCCAACAAGCCCCTCCGTCTTCCCCTCCAGGATGTGTACAAGATCTCCGGTATTGGCACAGTTCCCGTCGGTCGTGTCGAGACTGGTATCATCTCTCCCGGCATGATCGTCACCTTCGCCCCCGCCAACGTCACCACTGAAGTTAAGTCCGTCGAGATGCACCACCAGCAGCTCAAGGCCGGTAACCCCGGTGACAACGTCGGCTTCAACGTCAAGAACGTTTCCGTCAAGGAGGTTCGCCGTGGTAACGTCGCTTCCGACTCCAAGAACGACCCCGCTGCCGCCTGTGACTCCTTCAACGCTCAGGTCATTGTCCTGAACCACCCCGGTCAGGTCGGCGCTGGATACGCTCCCGTCCTCGATTGCCACACTGCCCACATTGCCTGCAAGTTCGCTGAGCTCCTCGAGAAGATCGATCGCCGTACCGGTAAGGCCACCGAGACCTCCCCCAAGTTCATCAAGTCCGGTGATGCCGCTATCGTCAAGATGGTTCCCTCCAAGCCCATGTGTGTTGAGGCCTTCACCGACTACCCCCCTCTCGGTCGTTTCGCCGTCCGTGACATGCGCCAGACCGTTGCCGTCGGTGTCATCAAGTCCGTTGAGAAGAACGCTGGTGGCGCTGGTAAGGTCACCAAGGCCGCTGCCAAGGCTGGTAAGAAATAAATGATTCTCGGATGATGCTCATTATGCCGTGATGATTTTTTCTTTTCAAAAACAATTACTGGATCGAGGTAGATTTGCTGTGTAGTTGCTCAAAATGACTACCCACATTTTTATGATACATTTCTTCTTTCCCTCGTAAACTTGCAACAGCAACAAAGTAACAACGTAGACAATAATCTGTAAAATATTTGATCAACCCTTGGACGGTGTACCTCTTGTCCCACCCTCGGTGGACTTTGATCTTGAGTTCTGTGCGATGCGCCTGAGGCCCGCGACGCCTGACTTCTTTGATAGACATGTACATAGTTAGTACAACCATGTACCATGTACCTCCTGTCAAGACTACATATGTATATGAAAACAATGTTTGTTTCAGGTTCTCTCTTTCTTCCTACTATGCCCAATACAATTATTATCCGACTTCAACTTCCTATGTATCCCCATCTTTGTAACCTCATCAAAGGAGATGGTATCTATAATCCTCGAATGGCTTCATCTCAAGCGATATCAAGGACTAGCACCAGGTTCAATCTGGAATTCAACTCCAGATCAATTCCGTCCTGATTCGATGTAGAGCACTATTCCAGACCTATCCCTACGGAATCGACCCCGATCAATCACCACAAGGCATCTGATCAGCCTGAAGCATATGTTTTGTCATTTGTGCAAATGCCATAGTGCACGTACCTGTATATAGTCTAGAAGAGAAGCTAATGAATAAACACCGGTTTAAACCATGATTATTGAAGTGCCTAACATCAGAATCCATGGCATGATACTCTGAGCTCTTAGGTACATATATACTCAAGCTAGTCTCAATTTTCATATAATTTCAACTTTGCAAACCTTATTTTGCATACATATGTAGAGAGGTCGATATTTTAGACCTCTTGGATTTTTGGATTCCCCATTATCTATTGATCTATTTGTCTAAATAATGACTTTCTCAGTTTGTCTCGAAACACCAATAGTATGGGCCGCTTGGTGATTAAAGAGAATGAGCTAAAATCCTGGAACAAACCAATTTACTACATAGCTAATCCGTGCAACTCTCTCAATATGGGGTTATTGTAAGACTGCACTAAGCTGGACTAAAGCGACAAGGTAGAACATGTGTTTTACATAGTTGACTCAGTTTCAAGCTCAACGCAGAGCACTTCCACAGGAAGTGACCTCAACCAAGGAGCCAACTCAGCACTCACGGACTTGGACACGTTCAAAAGTCTACAATGCGACACAGTCCACATTGTAGAACTGTAGATAAAAGATTAAACGGCAAATATTGATCAAACGTATATAAATGACCTATCGTATCTTGGGTATCAAGTCGCAGATACCTACTTGTAGTATGTATCCCTATGTTATCACGGCGTGCTAATAAAAAATGTATCAATCACTCTTCCTCATACTCCTCAGAGCCAGAATCTTCCTCCTCCTCCTCTTCTTGGGTAGGACCACGCCTTGAAGACCGTCTAGGCCCCGAGCTCCGCGGCGCCTCACGTTCCTCCCCGTTTCCATTAACTCGAGCATCCCCATCCACATCGCTAGCACCATCCATCCCACTATCTTGTACGGTCGCCGGCTCAATCCCAAGGCTCCTCCCAAGCTTCCCCTCAAAGTCCTCAAGGTCTTCCCTCTGGAGTTGAGTCAAGCCCGCGTGGTCACTGTTCTTCCCATAAACAGTTCGCACAAGACCCGCCACACCACTAGTCCCAACTTCAATTTTACCCCGCGGTCCAAGGACATACTCAATCACCTCCTCACCACCATCCATCTCCCGCGTCTTGATAATGTATCCCTCCTTGCATAGCCGCTGCAGCAGTTTATCCGTGCGGTCGACGGGCGTAGCAACCTCGGCGTTTGTGCGCGCCAGGTACCGGTCAAGTTTCTGCTCAGCCAGTGAGCCGCCGTTCAGCATAATCACCGCTATGATGAAGCTGTACAGGCCCGTGTATGTGCTTTCAGTGTAGAGGGAGGGTGCCTTGGTTGGAATGAGGATATCGGGGGAACGGTATGGGGGCGGCAAGGTGCTAGTAACGATCCAGGACTTATTAGACGAGGAATGTTTTTCCGTTTTCTGCGCGGCTGTTGTACAGGATGTCAGTAGTGATTACTTAGACACATTGTGAGTCTGCAACAAAGAAAAGCAAAACGGAATCCAACTCACCCCGTCGCTGGGTAATGGTGACTTTCTCTCGCGCCGGTAACTCGGTCATCTCCATACCAAAGCGCTGCCTCATTTCCCGCTGCGCCTGGTCGAAAACTACCTTGAACTGCCGGCCCTGCTCGCCCAGAACCTTGGCGCTGATGTCGTTGCGCCGGATCGGGAGCCGCGAGTACTCGCTTGCTATGGCGAGCCGCACCATTTTCTTAACCATTGCATCGGTGCTGGTCGGTGCGCTTGGTCCATCATAGTCGCTGTCTGGTGCGGGTGATGAGTCGGGTTCTTCGCTTTGTCTTCTGCGCCGACGAGCGCTTGGGGTTGACTCGGTCTCGGATGTTGCGTTGCTCTGGGAATTGAGGTTAGTTAGTGGATAAACCGAGTGGATTCGAGTTTGCATACCCGTCGTTTACGATTTGATGGCATTTTGATTATGGATGGTGGTGAGTTGCAGGTGGGTTTGGGGGGAGACGCGACGCGATTAGAACTATTTTACCCCATCGGGGCTGGTCTGTGCGTGGCCCTTATCAATGGTTCTTTGTTTCAGCAAATGTGTTCGAGGTCAGTTTTCTTTTTTTGAGGTTCTTTCGAAGACTGTATTTGATGAGATATTAAAGAAATAATATTCTTTGCAATATCTACATACATAGAGAGTTGTGTGTTTATTAAATCCAATAGATTAGCGTTGAGGTACAACATACATCGATAGACCTAGAAAAAGCGAACTAAATACAACGGAGGCAAAGCAATACACACAGCAGCGATGAGGTATTATTTTCTCTAAAATAAAAAGAAAGAAAACGAGAAAAAGAAACGCTCCAAAAGGTCAAAGAGATCTAAAATCAGTGGCTGTTCTTCTCATTGACAGCCTCCTTCGCTTCCTCCTTCTTACTCTGGAGGAAAGTGCTAACCCAAGCTAGCGATTCCTGCGACAAAACCAAACTGGTAGTGACAACAGCCTTTCCTGAAGCAAAGACACCATCACCACCACACTTTTTGTACTCAGAGCCGTAGACATCGGTAACATGGTGCTTAACATCGCCGACGACGCGGACGGGAAGCGAGGCACTGTTGTAGATGGAGCCGCGCAGCTTCTGGGTGTCCTCCTTGAAGATGGGGAAGCGAGTGTCGATCTGGGTCAGACCCTTATCACCGAGGGAGTCGGCGCGGGCTATGTAGGGAGCGACATAGCTGTAGGGAGTGGAGAAGTAGGGTAGAACAGGTTTGGCGAGACGGGTGTAGCCCTGGTCGGCGTATTCGAGGGACTTGGCTCCGTAGGGGTTGCCCTTGTAGTAGGAGATAGAGTCGGAAATGATGGGATAGGAAGTCAGATGCTATATTTGGGAATGGTTAGTTAGTATGGGCTAATTCTGAGTCTAGTTCCGCGTTGGGCTGTAGTGGGGGTATACATACGTCAAGGAACTGAGAGTAGTGCTTCTCGCCGTTAACGACCGGTTCACCCATTTTGACTTCTGCGTGGGGCATAAAGATAGTAAGCTGAGTAGGATGTAATATAATAAGAATCTAGAAGAGAAAAAAGAGAGAGAGAGAGGAATATATTGGGTTGTATAGGAAAAAAGGGTTTTCACATGTGATTGCGCTGTCATTATGCAATGGGTCCTACCGCAATCGCATCATTTGTGCAATACATCGTATTATCGGCTGGTTATTTTGGTTGGCTACATATTTCAGTTGTCTGCATTGGATTTTCTTTTTCTTTTTCTTTTTTTCCCCTATCTTTTCTTTTGAGAAAAGGGTTCAATGGCTTCAGGTCCCAACTGATACCCCCACGCCAATGCGTCATTGACATTGGCCACTATCACTGCGAGCTGTCAGAGCAATTGAAGCTCAATGCCTAATTATAGTTATTATACCAAATATACTTGTTTTAATTGCAAAAATCTTGAAAAAAATACCAATGAATTTTTTTGATAAGCTGCTTTCGCATGTGATTGCGGGTCTGATACAAAAACGTCGTATGGTTCCACTTGGATGATCTCTATCAATGATCTATTCGGTCTCTCATCTTATACAGCTTGTCATTTCCTATCACATTCCAAGGTTCTTCCAAGGGTTCGATATTCCCCAGAATACATCGATTCGACCCAAGTGAGGGGTGACTTTTTAAGAAAAACCTTATTTTCACCCGTTTCACCGTTTTACGTTGGACAAAACTGCTTATCTGCACCCTATAATAAAACCGCCTAAGACGCTGGCCGCAGGTGGCCGCAGATCGGGGCCAGCTTGCCAGAATATGACTGACGCTTCGGCTTCTAGGTTATGTGAGTCTAGCCCGTCTGCACGTACATTAGTGATGCTAGTCATGTACCCACCCATTGGCCTGAGCGTCGGCCCCTCGAACCGCCCCTTGTACTCTCGCCGGAAATACGTAACAGCTTCCGGTCCAAATGCGGGAGGAGCAAAATTGCGCAAGGTCCTAGTCGGATTGAAGATCGTTCTCCCGCCCCCCGGGTATGCGATGGGCGAAGTGATTCGTCGCGGATTCATCCGAATCTCGGCGCTTGATGTGACTCTATGAAACGGTTGCGTTCGATAGGGATATAGTACATACTATGGCCATACTATATTTATTAGTCCAGGTGGTTTAATTGAGGGCGAGAAAGCATCCTGGTACTTCGTACATATCCAGACCTTTGAGGACGAAGGAATGCGGAAATGATATGTATTCGGTATGACTATCAGGGTAAGCCGAAAAGATGGCCAGGTTTCCCAATATCGTGGTCGGCATATGAAAAATTGAAGATATCGACTGGACTAGATATGTCATGAGCATTGAGATTCGAATCTGGAGAAGGGCGAGTTTATTTTTCTTCTTTCTTCTTTTTCTCTTTTACTGAGGTGAACGGGATTGGGGTTGATCGACTGGCAACCCACTCGATTAAGCTACTATGTAGATCCCTGTGCATCGTGGGTCTTAACCAGCAACGGTTGTCTCAACATCTTACAAAGTACAAACTCTGCATCTTCTGTTCCTGTAAACTTTCTCCAGAATCTTACCCAAAAAATATACTGCATTCGACCTATCACTGCCTTCAGAGCCGTTGGGATATTGTGTAGTGGAAAATCTCCTTCTCGATTCAGACTGTGGCAAGCATGCCACTCCCTTTTTGACTTTTCACGTACAATCAAGTTTAGAGATCTAGGTGCGAGATATTACATCTCCGGGTGGCGGCTGGGATGAAGGTCGAATCTCGGTTATAACCCTATGAACATCTAGCGTTGCGGAGGCCCGTGATCCGCTGTTAGCTGAGCGCGAAGGTACCCATTTCACATGCGAAACTGAGGTGTCATTTAGCGTTGGCGCTCTTGATATCAAGGGTTCAATTGTGTTGCCTTGTAGATCAATTGGCCGACTCAGGTGATGATCACATGAAATCAAGCGAACACGGGTTATTTTTTCTGTTTATCTGTGATCAACTGTGCCGGAAACTACATATGTAATGTTCTCGAAGCGCTTTGTCCTTCGCTTGGCAGTTGTTAGCCACATCGGCCCTGAAAGAGAATACTATGCCTACAGGTGTGCCAAGGGAATCAGCTGTCGGAGATGATACCGCGTATTAGTGGGTGTATTTTGTGGTCGCTTTGTTGTCTAGATCGCGCCACTTGGAAGGAACTCCGAGCTTCACATATTCTTGATACTATCATATGATTTATGTCGAAGCGAATCGGGCATTGCACAACTATGCACCACGTACATAATAGTATGCCATTCATTGTTCTGGCATGCGGGCTCTCATTCTATATTCCCACCTTCAAAATGATAGTGCTAAGATGGCTATCTCAGTCTCCATCTTGGCATCTGTTATGGATTCTATCTAACACCTGTGGTACTCCAGATATCGGTAGTACTTTTCACGGCTTTTGTTTGGTCAACTTCTACTTCTTTCATGTATCTATCCCATTTTTGAGAATGATTAGCGTAACAGACTGTATTTGAAGTGGATCTATGCTGGGGAAAAAAGAAAAAAAAAAAAAACATATACTCGGGGAGAAAAATAAGAGAGCAGACCAAAACGTACTAGACGCTCATAAAATATCTCCCATCTACGGTAGTTATTATCCACCTCTTCAAGAACCGACGGTATTCCGTAAGTATTAAGGCATCGCAGTGGACTTGTCAAGCTGCTCATCCTTGCATTTGGTGACTTGTCCCACTATGTCAAAAAAACAGACAATGTCGCATGCGTTGCGGCAGGTCCATAACAGCTGAGGTAGAGCGTGATCGGCCGCGGCTAGCTGGGATACTATCTCCCTGCCCTCCTTCAGCGAGACACGTGAAATCCAATGGAGCGGAATCATTGCATGTGCGGTCACATCGCAGATATGATACATCTTCACGATTGACAACACCAGGGTGATCGTCTGATAGAGACATATTCCAAGGATCGACAGGATCTTCCCCGGCAGGAGTGTGCGAGGGTACTCTGAGAGTAACGTCAAAGGGACCAACGGTGAGCGAGTCTTGCTTGAGAATCGACTTCCAAAGATGCCAGAAGCTCGTGTCAATCATGTGTCGGCTTGTATTCGCACGGAGCCGCCAATAACACGGGAACTTGTTAGCCTTGATTCTCACCTCTGCATCCTGGAATGGCGGGACCGGAATTTGGCGAAGGAATCTTTCGGGCAGATCGGCTATGTTCTCGAACTCGCTCTGGATTTGAGCCCACTTTTCCTGGTATTGTTTTTGGAAGAACTCCGTCCACTGTGGGTTTACGCCGCTGTCAGCTAGGCCCGCGGACATCTCCCAGATAAAATATTCGGCATTAACCCACTTGTCGATACTGACCGATGTCTTTAGAAGTGAAGCAGTATCGCGGCACACGTTGCAGTGCATCAGGATACGAGGCTTGGCTCGCATAACTACCATGGGCATGTTGTAGTGTCGATGGACCTCGTTATCCACCCATTCCTCACTGGCATCCTCGCGGATAGTTTCTAGAGGAGTGGCCATGATCGCGGAAATAGAATGGCTGGTGATGTATTAACTTGCAGTTTGGTATGTACTGATGTTTGGATATGATTGAAATAATAGCTCAGTCGTGACCGGATGATATGGGCTGAAGCTGATAGAGGCTTATGAAGAAAGGCGGTTTATATAAATACTACGTATGGATTGCATCAACCATGAATCAAAGGTCATAATATGAGGCCTTGGAGACTAAGATAGAAAGAAGACAATGAAGATAAAGAACGCGTTTCTCTTATCTCGAAGATTACATCGAGAATATCGTTCAAAGCCCATTGTTCCCTTATTTAGCGAGAGTAGGACCAGAATGTGTCAGTTGTCCACTGGAATCAAAGCGGCTCTTTGTTTGAATTACATACCTATGTACCTTGTAGATGAGAATACTCAAAGGCTGTCAAGGCTGCAATGACAGTGGGATATCAGTAGAAGCGCAGATGCTACATATGCTAGAAATATGTTCAATATTTAATTCTACAAGTGCTAAATACTTTGCAAGCGCTGATGCCCATATAGCTGAGGTAGGTTATATCTTGGCGGGAGTGGGGTTCACATGTGGTATCTCTATGGAATGTGGAGGAACACAATCTATAATTGCATCTTTGAGCATGGAGGTGAGGACCTAGACCTTTGGGGCTTTCCTCGACATATGTTGCTCGATATTCGGGAACCAGAGTCTTCTTTTGGAATGATGTGTTCAGGATTAGACTAGTTAGGAGAAGACACCTAGAGCTGCTAGCCAGGATGGAAGTAACTAATTTTCGAGAACTACGATTGCGCGTTACGGATGGGCATGGTTACGTCGATCGTAGAATGACACCGTGGAATTGAATGACCTGGGACAAACCACATAGCTACAGGGTCATCCACGGCATGGGAATGATCTGGGTCGAGATGACAGACCAAAATTGTTCCCGGCCTATGGGTAAGAGAAATATGTCGACCAGTTCTCAGGTAATAGACAACATTGATTTTGAAATAATTGTTCATTTTCCATTTCATTCAGACGGACACCAGGTATGGAAGTGGCGCCCCCGTTAAAACTGGAGTTCATCGATACATTCACGAATCTGTTTCCAGCCATGGTATATGTTTTCCCATCCCATGCTCGCAGGGACCGAATGTGCTCGATGGTTTTTCGACCTCGCCTTCACCTAGACCCGTGCGCTCAAAACGACAAAACGCCCAAGTAAACCGTTTAGAAACCTGTTCCGGAGTATTAGTCTCGAGTTTCAAAGTGCATATATATGTATATCCTGGGCCAAACATACGCAGGGCAGTGAAGAACCAACGGTTCTTTCCGCTGGTGTAACGGTCCTCAAGGGCCTTCTTGATGGTCTTCTTGGCGTCCTCGCGCTGGGAGACCTCCTTGAAGGTGTCGTTGGTGACGGTACCCTTAAGACCCTCAAGCTCGAGAGTGTAACGGGTGGGCATCAAGTGGTTGTAGTTGACGACCTTGATGAAAGGCTTGATGCGGCTGCGGCGGTCGACGAGCTTCTTGCCCATACCACGGGTCACCTTGAGGGGGTAACGCTCGATACCGGCGACAATGGCGTAGGAGAAGGGGTGCGACTTGGAGCCAGCATCAACGGGCTGGACAATGACGACCTGTAAATTCGAACAAAAATGCCTGATTAGCACTCCGAAATTTTTTTTATTGTCGCGCAGTTCCTCCATATTGCATTGTGCTCTTTCAAATCTCGAGTCTTTCGCTTGCAGGTCGTTCGCCTCTTTCCATTCTCGTGCTCAATTTCGGGGAGGATCAGGATCTTGTCGTACCTTCTTACCGGCGTAGCGGCCACGGGTGATGATGGCCACACGGCCCACTTTCATGACTGTAACATATCTGTCAGCATATAGATCGCAAGGGGAGTCGAATGGTGAAGACGTACACTTCATTTTGAAGGTCCCGGGGGCGGCGAGGATGGGTGGTTGTCGAGATACGGAACGGTCAAGATCGAAGTGTTCGTTTTTGCGGATGTGAGGTAGAGGGTTTCAGGGCACAGTAGCGATTTGTGTGCTGTGGATTGATTGGTCGACTTACCGACAGATGGCAACTAGCCTGTTTGGGGATAGTTTCCCCATTGGGCCCGGATCAATATGATGACATAATCGATGTGTTGTGCCCCAGCCCTGGAGGTGTCGGGCAGGTGCCCACCTGGGTGCCCAGCGCTCACCGCCTTATTGCCGCTGACTCAGGTTTTGTTTACATGCAGGTGACGATCGTAGTTGCCCCGGTTGCTATGGCCGTGAGTGATGTGTACAAGGTTGCGTAGCTCTTCTCTCTCTCCAGACACCTCTCATCTCCACTTGCTTTCCTCTTATCAAGCTGATCTCCCGGTGATTTTCTCTCCTCCACCGAGTTCTGAGATTGTTAGCTTTTGCTTTGTTCTTCCAGCGTTTCCTCCCTTGTGTTGATATGCCTTGATGACCTTGCTTCTGTTTTTACTTTGAACGCATTCTACACATACTACATACATTCCATCCATATTGTCAATAACTCTCCGAGACATCTTGACAATCCATTCACGAAGACATCATGCCGTCCCCAGAGAAGGACGCCCCCCGTGACCGGGAATTGGTCCGGCATTCAATGACATACTCCGAGTCTAAAGTTCCAATGTAGGTTCCGCAACTAACGCGTCCTAATTCTCCCATGGGTGATTTTAAACAAATGCTAAAACGCGGTCTACGCAGGTGGGACAGTTCGGATCCCGAGCGTGCGCCTCCGCCGCTACCAATGAATCCTCGTTCGATGAGCCCAATGAGCCCTGCAACGAGGTCCAATGTTTCTCCCAACATTCAAGCAGTGGCCGCAAAATTTACAGAGAGACCCAGCGAACACGCACCGAGCTCTTACACAACAAATCCCATGCCACTCAAGTCTTCCTCTCCAGAGAGGTCGTTGGTGAAAGGCCAGCACCACAAGCGCATGCAGTCACTACAGCCTGAAGATACCCGACAAGATGCGCGCAGCGACTTCATGAATTACCTTGAGAACAGATCCCCAGAGCGCCCTCTTCGTGCAACGATTATTGAGGCGGCCAAGCCGCGCGATCCTACCAAGTCTATAAGCTCGCCAGCGCTCCGTCAAGACGCAGACAGGGAGACGAACTACTCTCTATCGAGTCGGTACTTATCCAAGCCAATATTGGGAGAAAGCACTCCCCCGTCAGCTACAATGTTAGCCCTGCAAAACATGCAGCTACCTTTAGAACCCGACCCTCCATCACCTTCCAAACCGCCAAAATTGATCGCTGCGCCGTTTGAGTCGCAACCTCACCCCACGAAGAATACGAGCATGGATTCCCTCTCAAATCAAATCCACAGTCTCACAGACATTGCAAGCAGCTTGCAGCGTGAGATGATGAATTTGAGCCGACGCAGCAAAGACAATGCCACCGACCTGGTTAGTCTCAAGGCGGCAACCAACGCACGCGATGAAGACATCCGCAAGAGTCTTAAGGATCTGTCTTCTCATCTTACAACCAAGTACCTGGACGCTGATGCTACAAGGTTTGATTTCAGCAATCTTTTCAAGGGTGGTGATGGGCCTAACCCCAAGGATCCGGATAGTCCCGTTTCGAAGAGGAGCTACTCTGTGCCTCGCATGCCTAGCCCCAATCCATTTGCGTTTGATCGGGACTCTTGCGTCTCACCTGCCCCGATTTCCGATGGCTCTGCAGCCCTCGCTTTGCTCGAAAAGGTATTGCGCGAGATGGCAACTAAGGAAGGTGAGGAAAGGCTCTTGGAGCTCGTTGAAGAAATCAGATCTCGACCCGCAGCTACCGCTTCGGACAAAGATGCCGATAACAAGGTGACTGTCATGCTCGAGGAGATCCTCAATCTCGTCAAAGAGGATCCTGCGAGCAAAGCCCTCGTCAGATCTTACGGCAGGGACGCCGATCTTGATAATATCCAACCTGGGAATGCATCCCCCGAACCGACACCATTTGGGTCAATGGGATCCGTGGTTCCTGAAACTGTACGTACACTAGACCTTTCCAACTCTGACAAGGGAGATGGCTCTTCAGCCAATCCGGATGAAGTTTTGGCAATTCTTAGAAGTGTCAAGAATAGCGTCGTCGAGGGAGGTGGAATGACCAACGGTGTGAAGTCTTTGGTACGCGAACTACGAGGTGAGGTTCTGGGCATGGGTCGAGAACTTGGTCGACGATTAGACGAGATCGAGGCTTCCCGTGCCAATGACGAGCCTGAGGAGCAGCCCAGAGCTGCCGGCCCAGAAGAAATTTCCGCCATCGTCAACCGCAGCCTGGACGACCTCAAAGAGCAGCTGGCTGCTACTATCAACGAGAGTCGACAGCAATCGTCCGACTTGTCCGAGTTTCGATCAACCATGAACAGTGCCGCAATCTACTCTGTTGTGAAAAAAGCCCTCGATGAGCTTGAACTTCCTCAACCTCAAGCCGAGTCACGAGGTGCTGAAATGGACAGAGAAGATATCCTCGAGACAGTTCGTGAAGCCTGGGAGACCTACAAGCCCGAAATCGAGTTTAATAACTTTGGCTTGGAACGAGACGAAATCCTCACATGCCTTGAAGAAGGGCTCAAGTCTTACCAGCCCCAGCACGAACAGGCAGTCACATACGACCAGGTTCTCGCAGCCGTCGAGGACGGCATGCAGAAGTTCATTCCTCCACAAATCGAGCATCCGCCAAGCATATCCCGGGACGAGATCATCTTGACCATTCGCGAATGCTTGGAGAAGCAGCCCGAGCCTGCCTCCAGATCCCTTGACGAGGAACACGTCGGCCATCTTCACTCAATGCGTGACGAGATTCTCGATGCTGTTTCAAAAGCCATGGCCAGTCATACGGAAGGTTCAAAGTCCTTGGACGAAGAACATGTCAATCACCTCTATTCGATCCGCGATGAAATTCTCGATGCAGTCACTGGGACGATGGCAGCCAACAACATGCAGCCAAAGTCTTTGGACGAGGATCACGTAAATCACCTCTACTCTGTTCGCGATGAGATCATTGAAGCCGTCACTGGGGCAGTCACAAGCCATGCCGCAGGTTCCAAATCTGTGGACGAAGACCACGCCACTCATCTGACTTCTCTCCGCGATGAAATCCTTCAAGCGGTTGCTGGAGCAATGGCTACGAACAGCACAGGCTCAAAGCAGTTGGATGAGGAACATGTCAATCACCTCTATTCGATCCGCGATGAAATTCTCGATGCGGTCACTGGGACGATGGCAGCCAACAGCATCCAGCCAAAGTCTTTGGACGAGGACCACGTCAATCATCTCTACTCTATCCGCGATGAGATCATCGAGGCTGTCACTGGAACAATGGCGAACTACAGCACCTCCAGGTCTTTGGATGAAGACAACGTCGGTCAACTAAATTCTATCCGGGACGAGATCCTCGGCGCATTGGCCGGCACTATGACACAAAGCACACTGAGCAAGGATTCATACGACTCTGGTCTTGGCCGTGATGAGATTGTCAGTGCTGTCTCCGATGGCCTCGAAGCCCATTTCACAGCAGCCAAAGAGATGAATGAGCCACGAATTTCCCGACATGATGTTATGAATGCAGTCAATGAAGCTTTTGACGCTCAACAATCAGCTCTTACTATTGCCCACACGAACATCTCTCGTGATGAAATCTTGAATGCCATTGCCGAGGGCATTGAAAGTTCAATGAATGCCCAGCAATCAGCCCTCAGTACCAACGTTCAGCAGACTGTCTCTCGTGAAGAGATTTTCAGCGCCATCGTCGATGCCATCGAGCACTCGCGATCTTCCATTGGCAATAATGGGGAGCCTAGTATTTCTCGAGACGAGATCCTCGGTGCCATTCTGGAGGGCATGCAGCACTCGTCAAACCACCAAGAACCGAATATCTCCAGAGATGAGATCTTGAACGCTATTGCTGACGGCATTGAGAACTCGAATAACTCTTCTTCACGTGCTCTCACATCGCCTGAGCAAGAGGGTGAGGATCAGCAGGCCAGCCTCTCCCGAGAGGAAATTTTCAATGCAATTGTCGAGGGCATTGAGCACTCTCATGCTTCGCTCGGCATAAATGGCCAGCCTAGTGTTTCCAAGGAGGATATCATAAGTGCTATTGCTGAGGGTATCGAAGCCTCGACAAGCAGCCAACAGGCAGCGCTCAGCACCAACGTCCAGGAGCCGTCCATCTCACGCGAGGAGATCTTGACTGCCATTGCAGAAGGCATTCAAAATGGCAACTCGATCACCCGGGAGATTGAGCTGAACCAGGACGACCTCATGGAGGCAATCACCTCCGGTCTCAACGAGGCCATCAGTACCGCAAATACCAATGTTGGTGGGGAGATGACGGAACGCCTTCACACTTTATTCGAAGGTATGAAGGAGGAATTTAAGCAGTACTCAGCCGCCGGTGGAAGAGACACTGAGCAAGTCCTCGATGCAATCAAGGATGGCCTCGATATCGTTCGCAAGGAGATTGAAACTTACGTGGTTACCGCTGCCGATCTTTCAGGCAAGGATGAAGTAATTGACACGGTGAAAGAAGGTTTCCGACTTCTTCAAGCCGATATGGAGAAGACCATTACGGATACATCTCTTCTGAATGCGCCGCGAGGCATTCCTGATACACCTGAGCTTCTGGATGCCATGGAAAAAGAGTTCGAGCACTTGCGGGGAACAATCACCACTCTTCTTCTACGCAATAATGCCACCGAAGACAAAGATGAGATCTTGGATGCCATTCGAGAAGCGGCTGATCGCCACAAAAATAACTCCGGCGATGACGTTGTCAACACCATCAAGCATGAATTCGAGAGTCTTCGTGAGCGCATGGAGATGAGTGTGGTTCGTGCCGAGCCTGGCGCCGAGAAAGACGAAATCATATCGGCACTCCGTGAACATTTTGACAACCTACGTGAAGAGACCTCGCTCAAAGACGGCAACGAAAATGATGTGGTCAACACCATCAAGCAGGAATTTGAGAGTCTTCGTGAGCGTATGGAAATGAGTGTGGTTCATTCGGAGCCCGGCACCGAAAGGGATGAAATCATTTCGGCACTCCGTGACCATTTCGACATCCTGCGTGAAGAGACCTCGCGTAGAGATGGTAACGAAAGCACGTTGTCCGCGACAAGTGAGCTACTCGATGCATTCACAGATGGTGTTGAATCGATCCGTGAGGATCTGAAGAAACTACTGGAGAAGCCAACTGAGTTTGACAGCTCCGAGATTCTCGATACCATCAAAGATGGTCTGGCAGACTTGAAACTTGAAATGGATTCCCTCCGTGGATCTAACAAAGAACTGGATGATGCCAGCACCGCCCGCGGCGGTGAACTCATGCTGGCAAATGAGCCCAGCCTCGGGCCTGACATTGACGGTCTGAAAGTGCTCATCACCCAGCTTCATGACAAGGTCGAGGCCATTGAAACTACTCCTCGTGCCGCAGAGGCTCCCGAGGATGCCCTCAAGCGCTCACACCTTGATGAAGTCCTTCTTGCGCTTCACGAAGTTCAGCTCGCCATGGGTGAGATGAGTGCTCAACAAAGTGCCGAGAACGACGGCCCAGCTCGAAAGCAAGACACTGAGATTCTCGAGCAGTTACTCTTGAGTACTAAGACCCAGATCGATGAGCTTGTCTTCCCTTCACCGGATCAGGTCGCCACTCCTGAGCATATCGGAGCTCTGGAGGCCATGATCCGAGAGGCCAAGGACTCGATTGCCGAGTTTTCCAGTCGCGTCGAAGCCGAAGCTCCCACAAAGTCTGAGATCGGCACTTTGGAGGGTCTCATCAAAGATGTCTGGGTTGTCCTAGATGAGATGAAGAGCCAAACCAAGGACGGCGAGGAAGGTGAAGATTCGGAGAAATTACTCAAATCTGATCTCCAAACTGTGGAAGCTATGATATTTGAGGTCAAGACTCAAGTCGACGAGCTTAAGCTTCCTGATGTGGATACTCTCCCCACCAAGACGGAGATTCAGGAGCTCTCGACACTTGTCTGCGATTTCCGAGAGAAGATGGAGGCCAATAACGAATTGACCGCCCAAGGTTTCGATGCCCGCAAGGTTGAGCACGGTGGTCTTGCCGAGAAAATCGACGAAGCCAAATTTGTGGTCGGCGAGCTTGGGGATGAACTCAAGAGCAAGCTTGACGGCAGCACCGAGGGTCTGACTGAGCTTAAACAGCTCCTCGAAGGACTAGCAATCACCGCAGAGAGCTTCACCACCGTTGATAACATCAAGGAACTCACCGACCTTATCAACCGAGAGTTCGAGCGTTCTCGGGGGAGGAAGATGCAGTCAAGGTCGAAAAGGAGGAGCGGGATGCTGCCACAATGGTCAAACACGATGAGACGCGTGCCGCAATCATCGTGGAGCTTGGGACAAAGATTGACGAAAAAATTTCCGAAGTCCTGGCTAAGTATGAAGATGCGCACACATCCCTCCACTCGAAGTTCTCAGAAACCGAAGAGAGAGATCTAGCACACACCGAATCTTTGACAAGTACAAGAAGTCTTGCCGAGGACATCAAGCTTGTCATCGGTGCTATGGGTGATAGTGTTAATGAGACCTGTGAGCGGTTAAGTGTGGACACGAAAGCTCTCATGGAACAAGTCGACCAATCCCGCCAGCAAATGGAGAACATGCACAACGATGTGAGATCGCACCAAGAGCAATCTCAAGCCGAAAACGAAAGGGCCGCGGCTGCCACTGATCGAGTGGAGAGCAAGCTCCTTGAATTCCACCCTCGTATTCTGGAATCTGTGCAGGAGATATTGGCAATCGTCAGCCAGCACTACGATCACTCCCAGAAGTCAGCAGAGGATTTCAAGTCGGAACTGTCAGCATTGCCTTCAAATATCCCAGCAATGCTACCTGCGCTGCCTCCACCAGAATCAGACCGTGCACTCGCCATTGAGGATACCCCGCTACACAGCAAAATCGACGATCTTTTGGAACATGCCAAGAACAACAAGGTCCACGAAGTTCTGAGCACTCTGCTTGATCACTCGAAAAATGACCAACTCCACGAGAAGCTTGATCGCGCTCTGGATCAAGGGTCAGGTCCGAATGATCAAATATACGAGAAGCTCAATGAGCTGCTAGATCACGCCACTAATGGGAGTGGTCCTGTCCATGAGAAACTGGACGCATTGCTCAGCCGTCCTCCGAATCCGCCGGAATCAGATCATTCTGTTACCCAGATGACGAAGCTGGATGAGATGCACAGGGAAATCATGGAAAACTCCCGCAGAATGAATGAGATGTTCGCTGCCCAGTCAGTGCTGGTCGCTGAAGATACCGAGCGAAAGCGACGCGAGGCTGAGGAGGCTGCGGTCGCCCTTGAACGCAGAGTTTCGCAGCGTGAGCAAGTGGAAGCGGAGCTTGTTGGTCTGCATGAAGAAAAGGATTCTATGCTGAACATGATTCATCGCCTAAGAGCAGAGAAAGAAGACATGATCAAGCAAAACAACAAGCTCAGCAAGGATCTTTCCGGTCTTGAAACGGCCCTAGAGATACGCCACGAAGAGATGCGACAGATGGAGGATCGCGCGGATAGCCTTGAAAAACGCATTCTGGAGGGTGTACTCGACCATGCTCGTACCGTCCTTCTCGGCCGATCCAATAGCTTGCAGGCCATGAACCTGAAGAGGAACCGCAGCACCCGGAGTATCCGTTCCTCGCGCACAGGTGCCCGCAGTCCTAGTGTGGCGAGCACTGCCAGCACTGCCAAAGAGCCCAAGGACAGTCGCAGTCTGCTTGGCAGTGGTGTCGGGATGGCTTTGAAAAGAATGCCGACCTCGCTTCATGCTGGCACAGTCGCTGTCCAGCCCAACATCGGAAAGGAACGTCGGATTCTTAGCTTAAGTCACGTCACAGGCAACCGCGGTGTGGACCGACAGGTGAGTGCTAAATCTGGCATCACGAACTTGAAGCGCAGCCACTCTGTCAAATCAAACTCTCTTCGCAAGACTTCTTGGGCTGGCCCAACTTCTGTTACCGACAAAGAGAACCAGCCATTCCACGAAGAGGACGAGCTTGCGAGTGATGCAGAAGATGCTGGCCCACAGCGCAAGACCAGTTACGCGAAAAGTAACGCTCCTACCGACCGTAAGACGAGCTACGCACAATCCGACCTTGGCACTGAAACCGAACACAACTATGCCCCAAGCAACGCTGGTACTGACCGGCGAACAAGCTACGCCGCAAGCAATGCAGGCACAGAGCGCAAGACAAGCTACTCCGGCAGCATTGTCGACAGTGAGATTACAGATGCCACGGGTCAGCGCCGTGTTAGCGGAGTGAGCTCCACAAACTCATACAGTGTGGCGGAGAGCTCAATCGCTGAGCAGGACCACGAGGACCACCATGATGATATTTCTATCGATGGTTCCGAGTCAGAAGATGATGCGCAGACAGCACGAGAGGATGCAGAGCATTCTGGGCATGAGCACCAGAATGATGATCATGAAATGTCCCGCCAGATTAGGGAGGCCAATGAGGCTGCAGAAGCCGAAGTGCTCAAGCTATTGGCTCCCTCTAGCGACAGCGGACTTGGCACTGATGTTGCGGTTTGATCGAAATGTTTTGTTTTGGATGGAGTTGGGTGCTTGCACCATTGATGTTTTCTTTCTTTTTCATATACCACTCTTGTTTTGCTTCTGTGCTTGGATGACTTGGATGACTTTCGTTTGTGATCATAAATGTGTATTGTTTAATGATGATTATCTTTTTATTCTCCCAGAACACTCTCATGTGATGTAGTTAGTTAGATTGTAAATATAACTACATGTAGATCTAACTATGTGGTTAAGGTCACCGGATTGTTCACGAGGATTTTTTTTCAATCACAAGTCATATTTTAGCTGCTTTGAATCTTCTCTTGGAATGACTAGTCCTTGTAGATCTCATGTTTCTTTTCTATCACCTGTTACCTATGTACAAGTCGACAAGGCTGACCCGACAAATAAGGCAGGTGATCATGTGACCCCCAACAAATCATTGCTGCCTCAGGCGATGCCGAGGCCAGCTTCACCTGGTCACCTTCTCACTACTCTATTTTCGCATGGAGATACATATTTCTCCCTATTAATAGTTCTTCGGGTTTTCTTTGTTTCCTTTTCCTTTTCCTTTTCCTTTTCCCTTTCCCCCTCTCCATGATAGACGGGATAGGGTGCCCTCTTAACTGCAGATAGATCTACGTTCCGACCTCCGAACCCCAAAGAGCTTTCCCCCACATCGGGTGATCACAGCTGGTTGAGGGGAAATCCCACGATGTTGGACCCCTTCCCACCGCCTCCGGAATGGCTACGGAGCTTCGCAGAGCCCTATGCCGTCCGGCTGAGCAGCCCAACGCTTGCCGACCATATCCACGAGGTTATCGCAGCGTTCGCCTTCTACCTGTTCATCCATGCAGTTCTCTCGCCTTGGCTCTCGTCAATCCTCTTTGCTCAGTCTTACAACAAGCTCACTCCCCGGACGAAGCTGAACTGGGATATCCATGTTGTGTCTTTTGTTCAGAGCATTGTCATTAATGCTGCCGCCCTGTTGGTCATGTACTACGACGAGGAGCGCAGCTCCATGACCTCCGGTGAGCGGGTCTTCGGATATACAGGCGCCTGTGGTCTCATTCAAGCTTTGGCCGTGGGATACTTTGTATATGACCTGATTGTCAGCATTGTGCATGTGCGCATGTTTGGCATTGGCATGCTTTTCCATGCTGTCAGCGCCTTGTGGGTGTTTAGTCTAGGCTTTGTAAGTTGCCTCTCATCTGCCTGATATAGATACATTCAGTATCAAGAAGATCATCGCCATTTATGCATTTTTCTTTCTTAAATTTGAGACACATCTAACATAGTTTCCGCAGAGACCATTCCTAAACTACTTCGCCCCGACCTTCATCCTCTATGAGCTCTCCAGCCCATTCCTCAATATCCACTGGTTCCTCGACAAAGTCAACATGACCGGCAGCCGCGCCCAATGGTACAACGGCATGGCCTTGCTCTTCAGCTTCTTCGCCTGCCGCCTCGTCTGGGGCACCTGGCAAACCGTCGTGGTGTACGGGGACATGTGGAATGCGCTTCAGCACACATGGTCCGCAGCTGCAGCCCCGCTCTCTGAACCCGTGAGCGTCAACGCAAATGTCTTCTACCCAGCCCGCGACGGTAGCTTGTGTGTCAACGAAGCCTGCGCGCGCGCCAACGCCGAGATCACCAAGTTCAAGGAGTACACCGCGGGAGGTGTACCAACGTGGCTGGTCGTGACCTACGTCGGATCGAACTTGATCTTGAACTTCTTGAACTTTTTCTGGTTCTCCAAGATGGTCGAGACTGTTCTCAAGCGCTTCCGCACTCCGGCTGATGCTGCTGGTGAGAAGAAGGGGAAGAAAGAGTCTATTAGTGCAGAGAAGGCGGCTGCCCAGCTCAAGGAGGATATTGTGCATGATGTTATCCTCGAGGCAGCTTCCCAGCTGGAGCAGGAGGAGTCCGCCATCCTGCAGGGTGACCTTTCCTCGTTGCGGGAACATATCTCCTCGGGTGTGGACTCGGGTTTCGGGGAGGAATTGCGGAAACGGAGTGCAGAGCTTGTCGCGAAGATTCCTTTGCCTGGTGCTTGATGTTTGGATGGGAGTTTAGATTATTATTATAATCTATGTATCTTTTGAGGGCTGCTAAGTTTTCTCCTCTCTTTTGTCCATTGTTGCTTTATGATTGATTGAGGTGTTTGTCAATCCTCTCCATGTTGCTTTCTCTTGAAGTTCTGTGGGCTAGCTTCCGTGCACATTGTTTTTGTTGACCTCCTGGTCCAACCTCTTTTATACTGGTGTAGAGATAAAGCGCCTGGTGCAATAGCTCACACAATTATTAAAACAAATCCGGAATCATATTGCATTGTATCAGATTCTTAAAATATGGATTTCAAAACAATTCAATCCTGCCTGTCATACCTTGGCTACACCAGTCCGAACACCACACAAGCGCCCTATATCAGATAGAAAAAAAAGGAATACATCAACCCATCTCCATTGCGTAATGATTGGCGGTGTGAAGATGCGAGTTAAAACAGAAAGACAAACTGAAAAACCTACCGAGCAGCCGCAGCTTCAGGTTTAGCCAGCATGTACCGCACAGCTTCCTTGGCAACCTCGGAGTCCCAGGGGCCATCAACGCCGCCATAACGGAACTCAGGTCCGCTACCATCCTCACCACCTCCACGGGTAGCTTCGCCCATGATAGTCTCGAGGTCGCGGCGCTGAGAGCTGATCCAGCGACGAACAAAATTGGCCGGATCCTTGCTCAGAGCAGTGTAGAATGAGTGGCGGGCACGGGAGTGTGTCAGGGCCTGGACAATCAACGCAACTTGGTCATCAAGCGAGGAGATCTGGCGTAGGCCACTTGTGTACGCCGGGTTCTGAGTGAGAGCCATCATCTTGGTGCGCAGCGGGTCTTCAACTGCGACCTGGATATCGTAGATGGTCGGCGTTGGGTCGCCGTGGAACTCTTCGTCGACGCGAATGGTGTAGGGAAGCTTGATTGGTTCCATTGGGCTGGTGTGAGGACCGACGCTTTCAGGGATCTGGGGGAAGAACATTTGTTCCCGGCCAAAGATCTATAGAAATTGTTAGCGGGTTTTACAATCATATATTCAAAGCACATACCGAGCGTAGACGGTGATCACAGCGCACTTGTCGCTTCTCCTCGTCTTCCTGCAATTCCATGGCTCGGATGTAATCCCAGATTCCGAGAACAATTCCACTCCGGGTCTCCTCTTCGACATCCAGAACCTCGGCCAACTCCTTGCTCAACTTGTATCTCTCTGGAATTTCGTCCCGGACAAGGCTGATGGTGACATTCAGATTGTCCTGCGAGGCTCGGGAGAACTGTAGACTATCAAATTCGGCACTCGGGGGCGCTGGTGTGTTGGAGAGTGTGTTTGGTTTAGACCAGTTAACCGGCTTAACCTCCTCGGGGATTGCCGAGACGGGTTTGTCAAAGTCGATAGTAATAGCCTTGAAGAAATTCGAGAAGCGCTGGGACTGGCTCTTGGATTCAGATTTCTTTGCCTTATCCTCCTCAGCTCCGTCGTGGTCCATCGCATCTTCATCTTTCTCGTCCTCATCGGGAACCGTAGGGTCGGTTTCATCGTCTAGCAGACGTCCTTCGATGCGCACTTTGTAGCGACCGGAGCCCGGGTTGTTGCCCGGGCCTTGCCATGGCTGGTTTTCGACAGTATTAGAGATCCAGATGCGCATGGTCCGATACTTCTTGACGGTCTTGTTGATGGAGTCTTGGATATCCAGCCTCTTCCGCACAACAGCGGCATCCAATCGCTTTTCCAAGTCGCGGAGGTTTTTATATTGCTGAACACCCTCGCCGATGATCACGTCTTCAATGCCATCGGGGAGGTTCCTGTCGGTCGGCTTGCGGCTGCGCCGAAGGGCAGCATCATTCGGGTGGGGCATGGGACGTGAGGCCATGTACTGTTGGGCAACAGCGTGCTGTGGCATCGGAACAGGCATTGCGCCACCTATAAAGATTTAAGATTAAAGCCGAGATGAATGGGTGGAGACCGATGAAAGGAGACGTACCTGGCCCTGGGGGGCGACGGGGCGCGGCTGGAGATCGCTGTGCATTTGGGGGCATGGCCCGAGCATAATGTTGCTGCATTGGAGCTTGCATTGTGGAGAAATTAAGCACCGAAATGGTGGTGGAAGGATGACGGATGGGGGGAAAAGATGCGAGATGGAGATGCGAGGTCGCGATTCTTTTCCCGTCGCGCTTTACCCTTTTCGGACGATCGCGAACAACACAGTCGAGAGGGCAAGACTCATTGTTCTAAATGGATTTTGCAGTTGATATTCCATGAATAACTAGAAGCTAAATACCAAGATGTACTCTACATGTTTAATACTAATTACGTGCAATACCAATAGGTATTGAGTGTGATCGTGCATTGTCTCGATTATTTCCTATCAAGTCATCGTCTCAACTGCATTGAACATATCCCATCTTTTCTATTCCAGAAGAGACGCCTGGTTAGTATACAGACCTTCCACCACATTGCCGAGCTTTTCAATTGTCTCCAGTGCAGCATCGTAAGCCTGATCCCGTTCTGTCTCATCGTACACAATCAGACAAGCCGAGCCCTGGTCCAATACACCGATGATCACCTTGTCCAAGATCATTTGAGACAGCTTCCTTTCCACCTGCTGTGTATCCAAACCCACCATCTTCGCAATGTGGTCCAGCTCGACCCGGCTGAAGGGCTCAATGACCTTGATCAAGTTCTGTTCCAGCATGGCATCGTAAAGACGACGGAGGTGGTTTCGGATGAATACATCGCTGCCCAGTTCGTATCTGTAATCCGAAAGGGCCTTCTCGTATTCCTCCAGAGACCGGTTGGCGTGGGCCCGTGCCACGGCCTTCATTGCCTCCAGGCGTGGACTGGCATACTTTTGTGCTTGTTTCGAGCCTTGCAGCTGTGTGACATCATCCACCAGGTTCAGCATGATCTTGCACAGAAGCATGTACTGCAATGTCGCAGTGGCCAGATCGCCCTCATCGAGCGAGCTGTACCC